AGGTGAGCTCAAAGTCAGCCTGAACTGCATAGTAAGATCCTGTCTCAAAAAAAAAAAAAGTTTGTTTGAGACAGGATTTCACTATGCATTTTAAGCTGGCCTTGAACTCACTTTGTAGCTCTGGTTGGCTTCAAACTTGTGGTGATCCTCTTGCCTCAGTCTCTTGAGTACCAGGATTATAGGTGTGCACCACCATGCCTGTCTTAAAATGTTTTTTTAAAAGGGCTAGTGATATAAATTAGTAGAGCACCCCTGGGTTCAATCTCCAGCACTGTAAAAAAGGAAGTTATTAGCCTATGTAAAAAATAAATAAATAAATAGCCTATGTGAACAAACCTTGAACAATGCTCTCAAAAAGTTTCCAAAAAAATGATGCTCAAAAAAGCCAGACATCAAAATTCCATTAATAGGGAAAAGGGAATGATAGTTTTAAGAATTGAAAATTTAAGGTAGAATAAAATTTTAACTGTTAGTATCAAAAAAATACCATTAATATGAAATGCCAAATAGGTAAATACAGACAGAAAGCAGAATTGCAGCTGCCAGGGAATGAGTGACTACTAATGGGATGGGTCTTCTTTTGGAAGTGATAAAAAATGTCTTGGATTAGACAGTGGTGATGATTGTACTGGTTTGTTAAAGATCACTGATCACTTTTTGTTTTTGAGACACTTGAACTTACAGGGATTGTCTACCTCAGCCCAAGTACTGGAATTAACGGCATGTACCAGCACGCCAGGCTAAAGTATACACTTGTAAAAGGTGATTTTTTTTTTTTTTATAATCTTTTACATTTGTAATTCCACCATTTGGAAGGCTCAACGGGAGAATCATTAGAAGTTCAAAGCCAGCCTGGGTAACACAGTGAGTCTGAGGTCACCCTGGAATATGTGAGACCCTTTCTCCAAAGTTTACTTAAAAGTTTCAATTTGTTTGGGTCACATGAAATGTTTATTATCCTGCACCTGCCTGGCAAGTACAAGGTTGTAAATTTGATTCCAAGTACCAAAAGACAAAAACAAACAAAAAATTGAACTGTTGTCCATTTAATATAAATTAAGAATAATTTTAATCAGACACATTTTCCATCATAAAGTTTCTCCACAAAAATAAACTCAAGAATAGTGATTTCATTCCTGGTCTATGCAGTAGGCAACTATACATACTTGACACTCTTAGTGGTAGGCATTGTTTATATTCTCAATACTGTATTTTGTTTTACCATTAACTTGCTTTCCAAATATCATTACCTATCAGACAAACTTTACTACAAAAGAGAAAAACTTTAAAATGCTTTTTCTGAAAACATTTCAACTCTGTAACACAATGTAATGCATATCTAAGACACGACTTTTCTCCAAAAATCTTATAGCACTTAGAGGTGTTTGTTTGAATTCAAAATTTGTTTATTAGGACGACTTCTCACTCATCTTGATTCAGGTTCCTGCCGGTACTTCTTCCTGAAGGAACATTTCTTGGTAAGCCTGACCTTTCCTTCTGTTGACAGAATGCCATGGAGCAGCCAATACACATGAGTATTCCTCATGCAAGGATAAAGACCATGGTGATTTTAAAACATCCTAAGCACTTCACATCCATGGAGTAAGAACTGGGGCTCTGCACCAGATGCTTCTTCCCATTTCCTATTCTCATTTTCCAGAAAGGGATGAAGATCTTTTGTGAGAGGCATGTTCTCATGGGGAAGTCATTACCCACAGAAAGGTTTTTCTTTTTTTTGAGACAGAGCCTCACGAAGTAGTTCAGGTAGGCCTCCCAACTTGTGAAGATTCTCCTGCCTCAGCCTCTCAGGTGCTGGAATAACAGCTATGTGATATCACACCCATACTAGGGACTAAAACCAAAGGAATTCTACTACTGAACTATATCAGAATCCTTTTATTCTTTGTTAAATTGCCCAGGGTGGCCTCCAACTTGTGATTTTCCTGTCTCAGCCTTCAGAGTAGATGGGATTTATAGGAATGGATGACCATGTCCAACACTTAAATTTTAAAAAATTTTTTGTGGTATCAGGGATTCAGCCCAGCGGTTTCACGTGGAGGCTTTTTTTTTTTTTTCCCCAAAGACAGAGGAGTATCACTAAATTGATAAGTAGGCTGGGCTTGAACTTGCAGTTCTTCTTCAGCCTCTCAGACTGCTGGGATTGCAGTACACCACCACAACTACCTGGCTTTACATCTTTTTAAATTAAATTATTATCAGTCATGTTCCCTACTGGGGACATGAGCTTAAGCTCTTTTTTTTTTTAATCAGTACTGGGGATCAAACTCACGACCCCCTGCTTGCAAGGCAGGTACATATGCTGCTGAGCTAAATCTCCAGCCCCAAGCTTAATCTCTTTAAAAGCAAAAAATAACAACAGCAAAAACTACCTGCATTCTCACCATCTCAAAATGTTTCTGATGCATGCGAAGATATCTATCTGTAATCCCAGCACCTGAATCACTGTGAATTCAAGAACAGCCTGAACTGCACAGCCAGAACCTGTCTCAAAAAAATAAAAAAATAAAGTTTCTCCACAAAAATAAACTCAAGAATAGTGATTTCATTTCTGGTCTATGCAGTAGGCAACTATACATACTGACAAAATATTGTTTTCCTTTTGTCTGCAATGCTCTACTTTGATTTAAGGAAATGTAATCAGAAGCCAAAAAATGAAAGAATCTTGTGGAGGCATCTAAGCGTGTCAAGGTAGTAGAGTACTTGCCTAGAATATGCCAGGTCCTGGCTCACTTGCCCAGTATTGTAGATACAAGACACATGGGCTCTTTAGAGGTTTTAGAGATTTACTATACATACATGAAGCGTTTGGGTTTTCCTCACAATCTGCGGCTGACAAAGCCTGACACACATTAACCACAACTAGTAAACCTGGGAATTCGTTCTTTTGACATAAGTGGGCAGTACTTTCAAAAATGGGGCACATGAAGTTAATGGGATGCAAGGCTAGAGTTAGAAAAATTACTTTCATACTGGATGTACTATAAATCAGCCTAAAATGAAGGAAATGATGCACTTGGCCACTTAAAAAACGCTAGGTAAAGAATTATGCCTCAAGTTCTATTAACACGTAACTGAGACTAGGGCCAAGATTTGAAAACATTTTAAGTAATTTAATCACAGAACATTTCTCAAAGTATGTACTCCTAAAAGCAGCTAGGCACCGTGGCAACCACATATATGCCAAGTACTCTGGGAAGCTGAGGCAGAAAAACCCAATTTGAATCCAGCCTAGTTACCTAGGAAGACCAGGTCTCAAAATTCGAAAAACAAGGTGGGGGCGGAGCCCAGGGAATCCAGCTTAGGGCCAAGACCCTGGGTTCAACTCCCAGGACTGTTTTATTTAAAACAGTATTTTCTTTTTCTTTCTTTTTTTTTTTTTTTTTTTGTCTTTTTCCTTTTTATCGGTACCAGGGATCGAACTCATGACTGCCTGCTTGCAAGGCAGGCGCTTATGCTGCTGAGCTAAATCCCCAGCCCCTAAAACAGTATTTTCTTTTCTTTTCTTTTTTGTACCAGGAACCAAACTCCAAACTCAGGACAAAACAGTATTTTCTAGTTATACTCTAACAACTGGAACACTCACAGTACCTTACTTTCCATGTGAAAGCTGTGCTGGGTGGCTGACTAAATGAGTTTAACTCTGGGTTCATGTGTTCTGTGAAACTGAAAATCTTTTTTTAGGTTCGTTGTTTTTAATGTGAGACATTGGCTAAGTCGCTGAACTGCCCAGACTGGCCCCAAACTTCTGGTCCTCCTGCCCCAGTACCCTACATGGCTAAGATTACAAGCATGCATCAAGCCTATTTAAGGGCTTTCTCTTTTTCTCTTTGCTTTTGTACCAGGAGTTGAACTCACGACTTGGTGCTTACCAGGCAGGAGCTGTGCAGCTGAGCTATACCACCGGCCCTAAGGGCTATCTTTAACATCTTTTTTATTTCTCCTTCTATCCATTTCATAATCATCTGAAAAGTAAAAAACAAAATCAAACATCCTCCGATTCTGTTTTCGTTGAGCAGGCCCCAGATCTGTTACAGCGAGCGAGCGTCCTCATTCCTGTGGTAACTCGAATCCACTCCTGGTACGCCCCGTTTAAAAACCACACTGATGGGGCTGGGGATTTAGCTCAGCGGCATAAGCACCTGCCTTGCAAGCAGGCAGTCGTGAGTTCGATCCTCGGTACCGATAAAAAAATAATAAAAGTAAATAAAAAATAAAAACCACACTGAAACTGTCCACACGCTGTCTTTCCTGCTCGGCGAGGTCGCCGAAGTAAATGGGTATTTACTGAACAACTCCTCGAATGACTGTTTCCAGTGATTCAGGAAAGGCCTGGGATGAGCCCTACAAGCAACATTTCCACACAGGCCATAACTAAGATGTCCCCATTCTTAACAAATCCAGGAGGCCCGACTCTGCCTTTCCCACCCCTTTGACTCTTCTAGTCCTCGAAACAGAGAAAAGGCAAAAAACGTACAAAAGAACGCAGCGACACCCTTTGAGTCGACTTCAACTAAGCCGAGGAGTCCATGAATGCAGCAAAGCATCCGCAGTGTCCCAGCGGAGCCCAAGGCCTCCGGCCGCCCCGGGATGTCCCCGGCAGTCGGAGAATCGTAGGCTGGCTCGGAGGCCAGACCTCGGCACACAGCAGCCTTCGGGAAAGCGGAGGCCTCGCCCAGGGCCACGCGCCTCGGCCGGCACACAGAGCCCCGAGGGGGCGGGTAGGTCTCCTGTTGTGCCCTGCTTGTCCTTACTCTCCCCTCCCGATGGGACAACGCTCGGCAATGGCTAGGGCAAAGCCCGTTAGTATCCAGAATGCGCTCTGGGAAGCCCACCGGGAGATCCAAGGCCGCCTCTTCGCCCCTGTGGGGAAAATGGCGCCCGCCACCCTTGCTCCCTCCCGGGTAATCACAAGGAGCAGCCTCCCTCCCTCGATACAAAATGGCGCCTCCTGCTGGAGCCCCAGAATCAGCATAACTCACTTGTCAGTGAGATGGTGTCGATTAGGGATGAGCGGTTCTGTCAACCAGTCATACACAGGAACTTTGAGTCCTCCCTTTGCGATAGCCACTCAGGCGCTAACCAGAAGGCCAGGGTCGTATGACGTCACCAGGAGGGGCGTGATGAAAGGCGGTTTCCTTACCGGAGGCTAAATTTGGACCAATGGCTGGCAAGAAGCGTCGCTTGAGTGACGTGAAGATAACCCAATGGAGGCTGGGGGCGGGCTTCAAACACGCTATGCATGTTGCTGGGCCTGGGGGCCGGGCGGCTGTTTCCTGTCCTGGTGCATGGTGGTCGGACGGAGGAATTGTTGGAAAATTTTCTCGGAGGTTCGTATATAAATGTGTTTTTACCCAGTGTGCATTATTCTCCGCCCGGCCGCCGCCCTCAGCGCGGCGGCGCGGGGCCGCTTGGGCCCGGGCTCTGGCTTCTGCTTCTCAGCCTTGGTCGTAGGCCTTTGCCGATCCTACGACTGCTTTGGTAGCCGCGCCTAGGCAAAGCGGAGTTTATTAATAACCCGCGGCCGCCAGTCTAGGGCGGCGGAGCCTTTCTCGCTGAGGACGCACCCCCCACCCCGTCGCCGCGCCCCGCCTGTTCCCCTTAGGGGACCGCCGAGGGGAGGGAGATCTAGGGGGAGGGTGGAGCCCTCGGGAACCTGGCGGCGTGTCTGGCCTGACCTCCGCGCGGAGCGCGTCCCCGGACGCGCCGCGGAGTACCTGCTCGAGCTGAGACGCCCGGCCCACGGCTCCCGCTCTGGGCCCTGCTGGGGCGCGGGCTGCAGGACTGATTTTTAAAGGTTGCTGAGGCCTAGTAGTGAATGTTAAAAAGTTACAATTTATCGTTACCCTCTTTTTCCAGTTTTGATCAAGCATGAACAAATCGTTACAGTTCTTTGCAATGTTTTATTGCGAAATTGAGCCAATATTTTTCCCTTCCTTTTTTAACATCTCCCCCCACGTTATAACGAAATTTTAAATAAAATAGTAAGAGTATCATTGCTAGCCCATTGTTTAAAATCAGCTTCCGCCTTTGTTTACGAAGTGTCCAAATCAGCTGGCATAGTGAAATGGGAATGTAATGAGAAATTGTAGATTACAGCTGGTCCTTGATCTTACTAGAAGATACAGTAGGTACTTGGGTTTTGCTATAGTTAGAAGCGGTATAGTATTTAATACTTTGCTGAATAAGTGATGGCTTACTCATTGTTAGGTGTTCAGTAAAACAGTGTAATGAAGAGATCTCTCAAAGCACCAGTAAAACGAGTACGTAGTTTTACTGTGGCATGTTTTGACAGTTTAGACTTTTGAATTGGCTGCCAGCAAATATTTCCTCTCTATTTTTTAAAAACAACTTTTTTTCACAGACATTATAATTAACCACTTTTTTTCTTTTTTCTTTTTTCTTTTTTTTTTGTCTTTTTCCTTTTTATCGGTACCAGGGATCAAACTCACGACTGCTTGCTTGCAATGCAGGCGCTTTATGCTGCTGAGCTAAATCCCCAGCCCATAATTAACCATTTTAAAGTGTTTAATTTGAAGAGTTTTAATCCGTTGTGCATTTATATTTAATTTTTTTAGCTTTTTCTTTTTTCTTTTTTTTCTTTGTGGCCTTTTGAGACAGGATATCGCACAATTTAGGCAGGCTCTGAACTCATTTTGTAGCCAAGACTGGTGTCAAACTCGCAAAGATCCTCCTGCCTCAGCCTGCCAAGTGCTGGGATTATAGGTGTGTGCCACTACACCCAGCTGTTATATTTTTTAATTTTTAAGGTTTTGTTCTGTTTGGGGTTTTTTTTGGAGACACGGTCTCATTTTGTAACCCAGACTGGCCTCAGCTCACAGTGATCGTCCTGCCTCAGCCTCCTCTCAGTGCTGGGATTTGCACTATCACTCTTGGCTATACATTTCTTTTATGTAAAATCAGCCCCACTTTTGAATAACAACAGTTAGTCTTAGGACTTATTATCTCAGAAACTGTACCCATTGCTAATTTCTCCCCATTTCCTCTCACCACCACCACCCCCCATCTATAGATTTGTCTATTCTGGACATTTCAAGCAATTAGGATCATATATGATTTGTGTGTGTGTGTGTGAGAGAGAGAGAGAGACAGACTTTTGCTTAGCATATTGTTTGCCAGATTAATTCATCTTATGTCATCTTAATTGCTTTCTACTGCCAAATTATATCATATGACAGCATATTTTATCCATTCATCTGTTGATGGATATTTAGGTTGTTTTCATGTTTTGGCTGTATTGCATCATGCTTTTATGGAAATTTGCAGACCAGTTTTATATTTCTTTTGAGTATCCTATACATAGGAGTGAAACTGCTAGATTATATTGATGTGTTCAACCTTTTTTTTTTTGATGTGTTCAACCTTTTTTTTTTTTTGTCTTTTTCCTTTTTATCGGTACTGGGGATTGAACTCACGACTGCCTGCTTTACAAGGCAGGCGCTTATGCCCCTGAGCTAAATCCCCAGCCCCGACGTGTTCAACCTTTTAAAAATTTATTTAGTTTTTTGAGACAAGATCTTACTATGTAGTTCAGGCTGACATTAAACTCATTCGGTAGCCCAGGCTGGCCTCATACTCAAAGCGATCCTCCTACCTCAGCCTCCTGAGTGCTGGTATTACAGGGGTGGGCCACCACAACCAGCTTGTTAACCTTTTAAAGAACTATCAAACTGTTTCTGAAGTGTTAGGGCTCCGCTTTTTCCACATCTTGGGCACCACTTCTCAGTCTGTGGATTTGATTTGTTTCTCTGATGGCTAATGATGTTGAGCATTTTTTAAGTCCCATAATCAGATAAATGAATTGCAAAATGATCAAAGCCCTTTGCTGAGCATTGGGCCTTGCTAGAAGTAAAAGTTCATTTGTATTCTTTGTAGAAAAATGATCTAGTTGCATTGGAGAAAAGTAATTTATTACTTTAGCTGTTATTCCTTATTTAGCAGTATATATACAGTTTACAATCATTTGAGGAAAACTTTCTGAGTCTTAAGGTCTTTTGTTGTTGTTGTTGTTTGTTTTCTTTTTCTCTCTGAGGCAGGGTTTCATTATACAGTTGAGATTGGCCTTGAACTCACAGCAATCCTCTGGCCTCCAAAGTGCTGGGATTACAGGCATGCACTACTATGCCGGACTTTGAGATTTTCATCATTACTTAGTTTGAGAGGTTTTTTGTGTGTGGGGGGGTGTTGAATCCTTCACCTTCATACTGAGCTACATCCTCAGTCTTTTTTACTTGTTAAGTCAGGGTCTTGTTAAATCACTATATTGTGCAGGCCGAGCTCAACTAGAGTGTTTAAGCCTTTCAGAATGCTGGGCATTCAGGGATGCAGCACCTTACTTGGCTTTAATTTTGAGATTTTTATTTAATGTTTTTGTTTTGGGAATTTTGGGGAGAAGTGTGTTTTGTTTTTTGTTTTTTGGTTTTTTTTTCAAAAAGTGTGTTTAAATCTGAGGTTTGACCTAGTTTTGAGTCTTTGCTCCTGGCTTTGTTCTAGGATGGAGTTACTCTTTTTTTTTTTTTTTTTGTCTTTTTCATTTTTATCGTTACCAGGGATCGAACTCATGACCGCCTGCTTGCAAGGCAGACGCTTATGCCGCTGAGCTAAATCTCTAGCCCCAATGGAGTTATTCTTAAAAGAATTGAGTTGCATGTGACATTCCTCCTTTTTATGTTGCATTTTAAGAAAGGGCCTAAACCAGGTAGTATTTTATTTATTGTATTGTCAGTTGAAGTAGTTTTGCTTTAAAAGGCAGATTTAAACTGAAAATATTTAGAATATTTTTTGAAAGTAATGAACACTCTGTGTCCATACTGTCTTCTCTTTAATCTTATTTTAAAACTGTGCCTCCAAAAAAAAAAAAAAAAAAAAAAAAAACTGTGCCTCCGTGGGAGCTCTGTACTCTGCAAATACCCATTAATGCATACAAATATTTAGGTTCTAGCTGCATTTCTTTTTTTTTTTTTTTTTTTTTTTTTTTTTTTGGTACCGGGTATCGAACTCACAACCACGCGCTTGCCGCTGAGCTAAATCCCTAGCCCCTCTTTTTTTTTTTTTTTTTTTTTTTGAGACAGGGTCTCTCTGTACAGTTCAGGCTGGCCTTGAGCTCACTTTGTAGCCCAGGCTAATCTCCAACTCCCAGGGATCCTCCTGCCTCAGCTCCCTGAGTGCTGGGATTACAGGCCGGAGCCTGTAACCACGCCCAGCATAGCTGCATTTTTTAAAAACCAGTCTAGGTGTGGTGATTTGTAATCCAAACACTCAGGAGGCTGAAACAGGAGGATCTCTTGAGTTTGAGGCCAGCTTGGGCCTACATCATGAGTTCAAGGCCAGCAGGACCTTTTCTCCAAAAACCTAAATAAATTTCCAATCTCATTTATGCAGTACTTAACTACCACTGATTACGCACTGAATTTGGCGGCTTGTCACATGTTTTGCATATAAACATGCTCTTATCTTCATTACAAACCTAAATAGTTAACTAGAAGTAACCCTATTTTGCAGGTTAGTTAGCTAAAGTTAAGAGTAATTTGTCCAGCTATTACACTGAAACATGAACCTGTGATTAGCTCAGAAGCTCATTCTCTCAACCGAGGTTTTTCAGTACCCTTACAGAATTTTCAGTAACCTACCAAGTGCTCTCTCTTTAATCTAACATTGTATGGTATCAGCTGGGCACAGTGGCACACACCTGTGACTACAGCACTCTGAAGGCTATACCGGGAAGAAAGTCTGAGCCCAGCTTGGGCATTTTAATAAGACTCCTATCTCAAAAGGATTAGGGATGTAACTCGGTACAAAAGCTCTGGGTTCAAACTCCAGTACAGAAGAAAATCTGTGATCCCTAAAATAATATTTTGAGTACTGTACATAAAATGGGATATCATGTATGTTATTATATTATTTATGCATATCTTTAGATTAATTATAAATATATTCAGACCTGTATTGAAAATGAAATATTTATACAGTGTGGATATAATGGTCATAAGAAGTTGAGATAACTTCAAGTAATGGTAGTTTATATCTGATACATACAGCAGAATATTGTACAAAATGAGGCTTGGAAATTGGAATTTAAAAAAGTAGAACCTTTAATCTTATATCAGGGCAGTAGTTGTTTGTTCATCAAATATTTAAGAAGCTTGTATCATATGCCAGGTCTTCTCGTAGGTACTGAGAATTCAGGGGTGAACCCACAAACAAGGATCCCTCATACTATTAAGTCTTCAATTAATTCAGATAAGAGCTAAGAAGGGGATAAAGAGAGACTAAGAGGGTAGGAATAAATATCGCCTATTTTATTTGTTTTGCAGTGCTGGGAATCAAACCCAGGGTGTTGCACATGCTAGGCAGGTGATCTACTGCCACTGAGCCACATCCCCAGTACTGACCATCACCTGTCATAGATAGCAGGTGTCATCAAACTCTATATAGGTATAAAAGGAAGAATTAGATGTGTTCTGAGAAATCAAGGCAACCATGCAGACATAATGAAGGAGGATGATTATAAAGCACTCTGTAACATGAGTTTTGATGAACTCATTAGATATTTATTACATGACTTCAGGAATCCAAAGTCCCATAAGACGGTTGTGTGCAACAGCCATATTCTGCAAATATCAACCCCCCCCCACCTCCCATCCCCTTTGTGGTACTGGAGTTGGAACCTAAGGCCTTCACAATGATCTGTTATTACCAGCTCTGATACTTTTATTTTATTTTTAAAACAGTTCCCTAAGTCACTGAGTTGCTTGGGCTGTACTTGAACATGTGGTCCTTTTGCCTCAGCCTGTCGGAATGCTGGGATTACAAGTGTCCACCACCACACACATAAGCATACTTACAAAATCGTGTGTGTGTGTTTCTTTTAGTAGTTGCCCATGGTAAAGGTAAAAATCTAAAGGATAATAGCGGTTGGTGAAGTTGTAAGTAATTATAGGCCAGATTGGAAAGCAGCCTAAATGTCAAATTGTGCAGCTAGACTTAGTTCTGTAAACAGTACAATTATAAAATATTAGAGTAAAGAAATTTTTAAAGCTGAAAGCATTCTGTCCAGAGATTCCTTTGCATGGGTCTTAAGCTTTTGCTCTATTTTAAAACAAGCCAAACTAGAATAAGTCATACTTGGAATTGTTGTTAAAAGGTGGTATTGAACAGTTCTACAGAGAAATTTTCAGAGTAAAAACTTTGACCTTTTGTCAGTGTTTGGCAAACAAATACCTATTTTCATAGTTAAATTAAAACATTTAAAGTATATATCTTGGTACTGGGAATTGAGCCCAGGCCTTTTACATGTCAGGCAAGTGCTCTGGCACTGAACTATATTTGTAGCCCATTTTTAAAATTTATTTATTTATTTATTGGTATTTATTTATTTATTTATTGGTACCAGGGATCAAACGCACGACCAGGCGCTTGCAAGGCAGGCACTTATGCCGCTGAGCTAAATCCCCAGCCCCTTTGTAGCCCATTTTAAAATTTAATTTTGGAAAAAAGACCTTAATTTTGGGACAGGGTTTTGCTAAGCTGCCAAGCTGAGTTGGGCTACATAGCAAGACCCTGTCTCAAAAACAAACAACAAACAAACAAAAAGGCTAGAGAATAGTGAGGTTTTGGATTCAGTTCCCAGTACCTAAACAAATAAAATGACAGCAGGAGATGGCGATGTCGCTTACTGGTACTAGCATGTTCAAAGCAGCACAGGAAAACCAAAAAAAGCGATGACAACAAATTATAATAACCATTTAACTGCTCATATTTTAATCCAACAATATTAATTTTGGGGGTTAAAGGGTATAATCTACTCTGCTTCTGAAAAAACATTTTAATTAAAAAACATTTTTTTGAGACAGGGTCTCACCATTTCAGACTGGTCTTGAGCTTACTATGTGGCCTTAACTAGCCTCAGTGATCCTCCTACCTCAGCCTCCTGAATGCTGAGATTACAGGCCTTCACCACCAAGCTCAATCAATTAAAAAAATGTCAATGGCAAAATATGTGCCCAATGTATAATTTTTTTTTAAATGCTAGCTGAATGTGGTGCACACATCTGTAATCCTAGTACCTGGGAGGCTGAGGCAGGAGGGTTAAAGGCCAGCCTGGATTATATAAGCAAGACACAGCTGATATAATAGGAGTATGGTATCTGGAGGAGCCTTTATTAGAGTTATGCTGCAGCATAAAGGAGCACCAGACACTGACTAACCCCAAGTGATCTGTGACAGCTGCTGATATAGGATGCTTATGGGATGTGGAAGGCCCCTCCTTGACCTGACTGAGGGCTGTGGAGCAGTGGAAGAAAGAAATATCTCCTGAAACTGTCAGGGAGGCCCGGTGTAGCCATGCTGGCTGCAGTGTACTTGAGCAAAGTCCCTCTTGGGAAGTGTCGAGCCCTTTTGTCCCATCTCAGAACTGTTCTTTGCAGAAGAGATCCCTGAGAACCTTTGGAAGGAAAGATAGGAATTGCAGAGGTCAGGGTTTCGGATGTAGCTCCGTGGTAGAGTGATCTTCCCGCCTCAGCCTCCAGAGTGCTACAGTCACAGGTATATACCACCATGCCTGAAAAAGATCCCAAGATTGTAGCCCCTTCAGAGCTGTTTCACTTAACAGTAGCAGATCAGTTATTGGGTCTGAAAAGTGTTTTGTTTTGTAATTATGAGACCTGCACATTTACTTCTGACAAGAAGTATACATATGTATGTGTATGTTGTCCTGTTCAACATTGTTTTAGGACAAGGTCTACTTTGTCTTTCTTCTTTCTTCTTTCTGCTGCTTCCATTCCTCAAACTCCCTTGTGTTGCTGAGAACCAACTAGGGCATACCTGGCAAACTGGTCTGTAATTAAACCATTTTGTTAATGCGATTTTCTTGAAGTTCAAAAGATTTTTATTTTGTTTTTGTAATTTATTTTAATACTCATCCTGCATTTTATGTGGCATTTCATCCTTTAAAAACTACTGTCTAGGCTGGTCCGATGGCAGTGGGTTATCAGAACTTACTAACATTAGTGTCACTAAATTTGGTATTACCCCCCACACACTGCTAAATTTGACTGGCTTTAAAAAAAAAAACCTACTGTCTAACCAGGCATGGTAGCTCACACCTGTAATCCCAGCACTCAGGAGGCTGAGGTGGGAGGATCATTACCAGTTCAAGACCAGCCTGGGCTACAAAGTGAGCTCAAAGCCAGCCTGAACTGCATAGTGAAACCACATCTCAAAAAAGACCAAAAAAAAAAAAAAAAAAAAAAAACAAAACCCAAAACTACTGTCTATTTATTTTGTCTTTTTGAGGTAGGATCTCACTATGCAGTTTGGGCTGAACTTGAGGTCACTTTGCAGCCCAGGCTGGTCTCAAACTTGCAGTGATCCCTCTGCCTCAGCCTCCTGAGTGCTAGGATTACAGGCATGCACCACCATGCCCAACTGAGACCCTGTCTCAAAAAGAAAAAACCAAAGAACTATTTCCAGGGACTGGGAATTTATCTCAGTGGTGTAACATCTGCAGGTAAGCATGAAGTCCTGAGTTTGATTCCTGGTATCCTTGAAAAAAAAAGAAAAAGAAAAAACCTATTTATACCCTTGGTCCATAAATATTAGTTGATTTTATTTCCATGCATCATTCTTTGTTCTCAGTTACCTATGTTTTTCTTCCAGGTAGAAAATGTTGTTAGCCCAAATAAATCGAGATTCCCAGGGAATGACAGAGTTTCCCGGAGGAGGAATGGAGGCTCAGCACGTAACCTTATGCCTCACAGAGGCAGTGACAGTGGCAGGTAAGCAGTCACATTTGAAGGGATCTTTTTTTGGTACTGGGAATTTTAAACTTGGGGCCTCACACTTGCCAGGCAGGTGTATCACTGAGCTGTATTCCTGGCGCTGAAGGGATCTCGTGGGTTTGGAAATACCATTTATCTTAGGGAAAAAATTGAAACACTATTTACTTCTCTGTACTTCATTTAGTTAGCAGCGCCAGAAACCTGAGCCTTTCTGTGAGTTTTTGTAGTTTGATATGAATTCATGGTATAGTAGGACAGGGAAGTATTTTTTATAAATTCTAAGAGTTAAGCATATGCCTTTTACCTAATGTTCACTTTTTAAAATGTAATCAGATGGCCAGGGATATAGCTCAGCAGCCCAGCACCTGCCTGGCAGGCATGACGTTGTGAGTTTGATTCCTAGTACCAAGAAAAAAAAAGTCACTAAAATTAAAAATGTGAAAAGTAGGATGGGACATAGTCACAAAATTAATGTTAAGTGTAACAATAAAATAGGCTTAAAAAAAGAAAGAAAAACGTAATCAGCATATCCATACTGCAGTTATCTAAAGGAACTAATTTTGTTTTATAATAGATGGTGACAATTTAGAAAATATGGAAGGTGTGAGCTTGCAAGCGGTGACACTCGCTGACGGCTCCACTGCTTACATACAGCACAATTCGAAAGGTACGTGCCTCACACAGCTGGTCAGTGGATACCAGTGATTTATGGCCTTGAAGCTGGAGCCCCTGACAATGTACCTCCTTTTCCAATCTCTCTTAAAGATGCTATATTGAAATTATTTCAATTTAACTTGAATTTTATTTTGATAATTTTGATACCCTTTGAGAGATTTGGAAAATTCTCTAGATTAGGGTATCAAAATTTGTTGGGGAAGGGGCTGGGGATTTAGCTCAGCGGCATAAGCGCCTGCCTTGCAAGCAGGCAGTCGTGAGTTCGATCCCCGGTACCGATAAAAAGACAAAAAAAAGAAAAAAGAAAATTTGTTGGGGAAGATAGGTGTGGTGCATACCTGTAATCTTAGCACTTGAGAGGATGAGGCAAGAGGATTGCAATGAGTTTGAGTCTGAGCTACAGTCTGAGCTACATAGTGAGACCCTGTCTCAGGGAAGAAATAGGGAGAAGAGAGTGAATGTGTTCCTGGCTTATTTCTAGTAAGACCTTTCTTATTCTTTTTACTTAAAGTTATTATTTAGTGTTATTATAAAACAAAAAAGTAAAAATATTTGGTTTTGCTTAAATATCATTATCTTTGAATTAGTGTTTACTTTGCTCCAGGAGATAGCCCTATTCTAAGCTTGTTTTTTGTTTTTGGTGGGGGAAGGAGGCGTGTTTTGTTGTTGGTTGTTGTTGTTTTGTTTTGGTCTTTTTCATTTTTATCGGTACTGGGGATTGAACTCACAACTGCCTGCTTGCAAGGCAGGTGCTTATGCCGCAGAGCTAAACCCCAGCCCCTAAGGAGGCGTGGTTTTTTTGTTTTTGTTTTTGTTTTGGGTTTTTTGTTTGTAGTTCAGGCTGGCTTGAACTCATTATGTAGCTCAGGCTGGCCTCAAATTCATGGCAATCCTCCTGCCCAGCCTCTGAAATGCTGGGGTTACAGGCATACACCACCTTAAACTCCTTGTTTTTATGGAAACCCGAGCACATGGGGGTCAGTAGAGCCCCAGGGGTGAGGAGGACAGCTGGCTTCCTGGGCACTGATGCGTCTGTCACATACACTGGCATAGCTGTTCTATTTTCCCATGGTCAGGGTCACTGATCTAAATGGCTCTGAAAGGTATATAGAGGATTGACGTGTGTAGCTTGCCATGATGAGCCACTCTTCCTCTTAAATTCATCTGATTGAAACTGGAGGGGAGGAATGATGGCTGAGGGAGGATTTTCTGCTTTCTGTAGGATCACTGGATGTGTTATTGCCTCAGAACGCTGAGGGAAGAATCAAGATGAACAAACATGAGCTTAAGTAGTATATGTTTTTATAGTTGATACTATTTTGAAATTGTATAAAGCTGTAAGTCTTTTTGTACTAATGTACTGGCTTGAATCATTTGTTCTAGATGGAAAACTCATTGATGGGCAGGTCATTCAATTGGAAGATGGTTCCGCTGCTTATGTTCAGCACGTACCCATACCTAAAAGTAGTAAGTATTTAAGATACAACATAGGAAGTACTCCTGACCCTTAGACTTCGGTATTTGCTGCCATCTGCTCATTCTTACTACCTCTACCTGGTCTTCTGAAGCGGGAGAACAGGGGATGCCACGAGAGGCTCTAAAGAGCATTTGAACTTAGCCAAGACTTTCTCTCAGATATAGTGGAAGACAAATTCCCGTGCTGCCCTCTGAAGATCCGCAGGCAGAGGTCCTCAGTGAATGTATCTGTCATTGAGCCAAATCCTATGTATCATTCATTTTCCTCTTTTTTTATCTTGTTCCAACTCTCATCCCTTGTGTATATTCCTAAAACAGGTATTCTGATTCTTTTTACCTTTGAGCACTTCCTAAAGCAGCATTCTGAAATTACAGAACAATTGAAAGACTCATACAGCAAGTGTAGCCTGTCTTATAGGCTGTTGAGTCTGATGGTGCAGAGTGAATTGGAGTGGCAAACATGAGATCTAAATGTAAACATCACTCTTGAGCAGGGGACAGTTTGCGTCTGGAGGATGGTCAAGCAGTGCAGTTGGAAGACGGAACTACAGCATTTATTCACCATGCCTCCAAAGGTATGGGACTCTGGAAATACATGGCAAACAATGGAGAAGCGGGAGTGTGGGGAGAGTGAGACCTGCCTTTAGCTACTGCACCCCTGTCACGTGAAAGAATTGTGTGTGTTTTCGAAGTAAGAGGTGGCCAATTTGGGCACAGCCTAAGGAGAAGCTGTGTAATACTTTGAGCTATCCAGGAGCAGTTTGGCATGGCAAGCACCATGAACCATGTAGTCATATGGATATGTCTTCAACTCCTGGTTTCCTTGCAGAGTGATTTTGACTGTTATTTGTTGGGTGTTTATTTTTTTACTTTTTGAGACAAGGGCTCATCTGGCTGCCTCAATCACTGCCCTGGATTCTCCTGAATATAATAATACCTTACCTGGAGATTGTTTTTTGTTTTTTGTTTTTTGTTTTTTTTTTGTCTTTTGTAGTACTGGAGATTGAACTCAAAGAGTTTTTAGGGTTTTTTGTTGTTGTTGTTGAGACACTGTGCAGTTCAGACTGGCCTCAAACTCACTAGGTAGCCCAGGCTGATCTTGAATTTATGGCAGTCCTCTTGCCTCAGTCTCCCAAGTGCTGGGATTACAGGAGTGCACCACGAAACCTGACCTCATGAACCCAGAGTTCTGAGCTACCCTTCCAGCCCTTTTTTAAAAAAACTTATTTTGAGATAGGGGGCTTACTAAATTGCTCAAGTTGGACTTAAATTTGTGATGCTACTGCCTCAGCCTCCTGCATAACTGAAATTACAGTCACACACCACTGTGTCCAGCTCATTTGTTAAGTTTTTAAACTTTCTTGGTTCAATGCCAGAAGTAGTGGTGCATGCCTATAATCCCATCATTTTGGAGGCTGAAACAAGAGGATTGCTGGGAATTGGAGACCAGCCTCAGCTACAAAGTGAGTGTGAGGCCAGCCTGAACTGCATAGTGAAACCCTGTGTCAATAAGAAAACAAAACAAATAACCAAAAAGTTTCCTGGTCCTAAAGAAAATGATAGTATTTCTCTGCACCTCAGGTTCTCATTTGTACAATGAGGGTGATAAGTATACCTGCCTTACAGGATTGATAAAGCAGAGAGTTAACTACTCAGGAAATTCATTCTCAGCTAGGTGTGGTGTTGCACTTCTATAATCCCAGCACTTGGGAGGCCAAGGCAGGAGAATTGTTTGCAAGTTTGAGACTAGCCTGGGCTACAAAGTGAGCCCAAGGCTAGCCTGAACTGCATAGCAAGACTGCCTAAAAAGACAAAAAAATCCACTGCCTTTTAAATATGCAACTGCTTTTACCATTAATGAATTTATCAGAACATGCTGGAAAACTTTACCTTTAATTTAATCCCCTTCTCTTCCACTCCCTCAGATAGTTATGACCAGAGTGCATTACAGGCGGTCCAGCTGGAAGATGGTACCACAGCCTATATCCACCACGCAGTGCAAGTCCCACAGTCTGACACCATCCTGGCAATTCAGGCTGATGGGACAGTGGCAGGGCTGCATACTGGGGATGCTACCATTGACCCTGACACCATCAGTGCTTTGGAGCAGTATGCAGCGAAGGTATGTCATTTTATAGTGTTACAACTGTCCCAGGGGTGGGGCTGTAGCTCAGTGGTAGAGCACTTGCCCGAAATGTAGAAGGCCCTGAACTTGATCCCCAGGACTGTTCAAAAAAATTTAAAAAGTCTCAAATACAGCTTCTTTACTTTTCATGAAAAGCAAATAAAAAGTATGCTTAGAACTGGGGTATTTAGCTCAGTGGCAAGTGTGAGGTCATGAGTTGTTTGATCCTTGGTACTAAAAAAAAAAAACATAAATAAAAACTTCTTTTTTTTTTTGGAAACAAGATCTCACTATGCATTTCAGGCTGACCTTGCACTCACTATGTAGCCCAGGCTGGCCTCGAACTCATAGCGGTCCTTCTGTCTCAGCCTACCCAGTGCTGGCATTACAGGCGTGTGCCTCCATACCCAGCAACCAAACTTTTTGTTAAGCTTTATTTTATTCCTGTAGGTATCCATTGATGGAAGTGAAAGTGTAACTGGTACTGGAATGATTGGAGACAACGAGCAAGAGAAAAAAATGCAGGTATGTAAAGGTCCTGAGGTACCTTCATTGTGGACCAGTGTACATCGAAAGATGCCAGACATCCAGGCGAAGCTTGTGTTCTAGAGTCCAGGGCAGTTTTTAGGGTCCAGGGTACTTCTGATTGCCCCATTCATGGTGGTTTGTGGGTCCTTTTTCTAGGACTCAAGCATTTCTGTCAATAACTCTTGCTACTTTGCTTTTTATATCTTTTAGTTTCTTCTACTTCCAGCTGATTCGTTCTGTATTTTGCTTTCGAATTCTGGAGAGAAAGTCCAGCCTCACTATTTGTTCTTGTTCCTGCTGACCAAGCTGTTTGTAGTCTTTGAAGCAAAGACTGTGTCCCAGGCTGCAGATGCCCCATGGATTGACTTCCTTGATTCAAATGCTCACCTGCTTCTAGTCTGCTGCTGGTTAACCTAAGTAACACCCTAGAGCACCAGTACTTTTAAACATTTGCATTCACCTGGGGATATAGCTCAGCGACATAAGCACCTGCCTGGCAAGCGCAGGGTCCAGAATTCAAGTCTCAGTACCAAAACAAAAAGGTTTTGTTAAGAATTTAACATAGTGGTATGCACCTGTAATCCTAGTACTCTGGAGGCTGAAGCCAGGAGGATTGTAAATTCAAGTAGCTTGGGCAACTCAGCAGAACCTGGATAAAGAAGATGTGGCATTTATACTCAATGGGTAGTCCTCTGTTATGAATTAAGCTAAACCTGAGTCATCTGTAGGAAAGTGGATTCAGCTTGAGACTAGAATTTGAAGAGGAAAATAAAATACAGTAGGAAACAAGGAGATGGATTTTTTGCAAGTCTTATATTTATTACATGTTGGGCTAATAGTATCTTGGACATACTACAAATGTTGGGTCAAAATAATTACTAAAATTAATTTTACCAGTTTTGTTTTCCCTTTTCAATGAGGCTGTTAGAAAATTTAAAATTCTATATGTGGCTTCCTTTAATGAGTCATTCTTTCTCTTCATGAAAGCTGGCTCCTAAAATGACTCTCTGAGGCAGGCATGATATAGAACATGTCCGTTATCATGGCACTCAGGAGGCTGAGGCAGGAGGATTACCATTGAGTTGTAGGCCAGTCTGAACTACATAGTGAGACCTTGTTTCAAGGCAAAGCAGCAACAATAACAAAAATTATTCTCTGAAACAATTGATTATTTATGATATTTGAAGTTGAAGGCCCAGGATGTGGTATTGAAAAGAACAAAAACACCTTATCTCAAAGTGTTACACTAAATAAGCAGAACCTGTAGCACTGGATCTTGTCCCTTGGCATTCCTTTATTTCCAGAAGGAGTTGCTAGCTGTTTCTACCTGCTAATGCAGTAGATGTTTTTCATGGTCTTTCTTTGTTTTTTCCTTTTCACTATGTAATAAGTAGCTATACTTATTAAAGATAGTAGGGTGGTAGCACCATAAACAGTGAAAAAGGTGAAAGGAAAGAGGGCCTCTAATACGAAGGGAAAGAAAAGCAGGAAAAATGGTGAAGAGGAAATTTGGGGGGTTTTTGGTGCTGGGAATTGAACTCACGACCTTGCGCTTGTCAGGCAGGCACTTATGCCACTGAGCTAAACCCCCCACGTGAAGGAGAAATTAAGGGCCTTAGTTTTATTTCTTTGAGACAGGATCTCACTCTGTAGCCCAGGCTGGCCTCAGGTTTGTGGTAATTCTCCTGCCTCAGTTTCCCAAGTGCTGGATTACAGGAGTATACCACCATGCCTGGCCTGTGGTCTTGTTTCTAAAGTCAAGGTTTTTTTTTAAATTGTGAGGTTCATAGTTTAGAATTGTTTGATCTGTAATATGAAGATGTTAGTCATACTACTAAACTGACGTCTCTTCACTCTAATATTTTTCACATAGTTCTCATGTAAAGGCTTTTTTTTTTGTTTTTGTCTTCTTTTTGAGACAGGGTCTTGCTATGCAGTTCAGGCTGACCTTGAGCTCACTTTGTAGCCCAGGCTGGTCTTGAACTTGCAATGATCCTCCCACAGTGCTGGGATTCAGGTGTGAGCCACCACACCCAGCTGAACCTTATTCTTGTGATAATATATCAAGTTGTTTCTTGTTTTTTGGTTTTTTTTTACTGGAAATCGGGGCTCGAACTCATAACCTCACACTTGCCAAACAGGCACTTATGCTGAATCTACATATGAGATATGAGTGAAATATACTGTGAAGACCTAGATTTTAAAGACACATTGCCATTAACCCCCGTCAAGTATTTCCCCTTGCTTCACACACATTTATCCCATAATTCCTGCCACTTGCTGAAGCGGTTCTAGAAGTCCTGGTGAGTGAATGCTATCGCAGAGCGGCACACTCATGCGGCCTTACTGTGTTTTCAACCCACCTAGTTATGGATCTGGTACCATGTAACTTCTGGTTTCCTCCAGAATCAAACTCACTGTGAAAGGTAAACATTTCAAATTCATTCAGGACATCAAGGCAGTCACAACACTGCAACTGAAGATGTGAAAGAGCACTTTCAGAAGCACTTCTGAAAATGGCAGGAAGAGTGGGATAAGGGTCTTCAGAGCGAGGGGGGAGTATTTTGGAGGAGTTAGTAACAATGTGTTTTTTATTATAATAAATTTAAAAGAAAAAAATCACAAAGTATGCGCCATATTTTTTAAAGTGGTGAAATTTGAAGGGTTTTGTTTTGAGACAGGCTCTCACAATGTAGTTCAAGCTGACCTTGAACTCAGTGATTTTCCTGCCTCAACCTCTTAGAAATTGACAAGTTTTAGAAGAGGGGTAGGAAGAACTGTCCAAGCAGAAGAATTACTATTAGAATCAAAGGTTTGAATTGTGTCTGAAAAAAGTAGAGTCTTAGTTTGAGAGTCTACAGGTGACCCTACAGATAGATAATTGGGGGTAGTTCTCATTTTACTTCAGCAGCACTTATACTAAAACTGAAGATTAGCATAGCCCCTGTGCAAGGATAATTTGGGGTAAAAAATGGACAGGATCCAAAATCCAAATAGGCAAAAGATATAAAGGGTACTTCTAGGTATTGGACATACAAACTTGCTATAACCTACAGCTCTCTCCATTTTGCATTTTCCCCATTCAAAGTTTGGAAATATTCCTATGATCGCAATTATTATGATGATTTTTTTTTTCTTTTGGTAGTGCTGGGAATTGAACTGAGGGCTTTGAACATGCTAGGGAAACACTGTACCACTGAGCTAAACTGCCCCTTTCTAGCCTGTACTCTTCTTTTTGCAGGGCAGGGCAGGGTAGAGTGAGGATCTTTTTTTTTTTTTTCCTTTTTATCATTACCGGGGATCCAACTCTCGACTGCCTGCTTGCAAGGCAGGCGCTTATGCCACTGAGCTAAATCTCCAGCCCTGAGGATCTTTTTTTGACACAGGATTTTACTATGTTGCCCAGGCTCGTCTCAAACTTGTAAACTCAAGCAATCCTAGCCATCATACCCCCAGGTGCAGCACAGCTATTCTAGTCTAATATAACCATTCATTAACCTCGACAGCTTATGAGTTTGAATGAGAGCCTTAATGTGGCAGGGACCATGTTTTTGTTTTGGTCTTTTTTTTTAATAAAGTTGAATATTTAACCAATCATTTGTTAACTATTATTTCAGAATCCCTGCCATGATAAGGAGTGGTAGAGAGTTATGGAGGTAGAAAGAGGGTGGAAGGTAGTAGATAAAAAGCATATTCTTTTTTTTTTTTTTTTTTTTTTGGTACCGGGAATTGAACTCACGACCTGGTGCTCGCCAGGCAAGCGCTTATGCCGCCGAGCTAAATCTCCAGCTTTAGAAAGCATATTCTAAGTAGCATCAAGCATGTATTTGAGATTCACAATGTAAATGTTAGCCCAATGGGGAAAAAAGAGCTTTATAGCCAAGGATACAGCTCAGCAGCACAGTGCCTGCCGGCAAGCACGAGATCGTGAGTTCCATTCCCAGTTTAAAAAAAAAAAAACACTTTGTAAACATTTCCTGTAAAAGGGAAGATTTCCATTTTTATGTAAACATTCTGCATATTATAAGTCTGAGCAGTGTGGTGATGCACACACCTGTACTGCCTGTTCAGGAGACTGAGGCAGAATGATTGTAAGTTTAGGGCCAGTTTGGGCAATTTAAACTAAATCACAAAATAAAAAGGACTGGGGATATAACTTGATAGAGCACTTACCTAGGATGCATAATGCCCTGAACTCAATCTCTAACATTAAAAATACAAAAAAAAAAAGGTTTTAAGCAGAGAAAGGAGATGCTCTGACTTAACTAAAATGTCAGTTTAATCATTGTGACTCTGAATTTGGCAGTTGTTAGAGTGATCCAGGCAAGAGATGATGTGGTAATCAGATATCTTTTTTTAATTTTTTTGCAGTACTGGGGTTTGAACCCAGGACCTTCACTCTGAACTACATCCCCAGCCCATTTAGCTAGCTAGTTAGCTAGTTAGTTAAGATAGGACCTCACTAAGTTGCTAAAGTTTTGTAGGCTGGGCTTGAATTTGTGATCTTCTTGCCTGAGGCTTATGAAGGACTGGGATTACAGAAATGTACACCACACTCACCCTTTTATTTTCAGACAGGGTCTCAGTAAATTGCTTGGGTAGACCTCAAATTTGTGATCTTGCTACAAACTCCCCGTAGCTGGGATACCGTCATATCTTGTATCTAATACCTTCTTTTTTGTTGCTTTTGAAATTAAAAATGCTTTTGACGTTGCTTTTAGGAGGTATATCCTTACAAGCATAACTACAAACATCCAAACAAACATATCATCAGGCGTGGCAGGTGATGCACACCTATAATCTCACTATTAGGAGGCCGAGAAAAGAGGATTGCAAATCCTCTTTTTTTCTAATTTCTTTTAAGACAGCCTGGAATACAACATGAGAACCTATCTCAAAAAGCAAAACACGGCCTGGCTTGGTGGCACACACCTGTGATCTCAGCACTTGGGAGGCTAAGGCAGAAAAATTGTGAGTTTGAGACCAGCCTGGGCTACATAGTGAGTGCAAGGCTAACCTGAATCAAAGGCTACCTGAATCACATAGCAAGGACCTTTCTCAAAAAGACCAAAAAAAAAAAAAAAGACAGAAAAAAGAAAAGTAAATAGTAATTTCCTGTTTTCTTTCTATGTAAATAACCTAAATTACCCTTTTTTACTTTCTCTAGATTGTCCTACAAGGACATGCAACAAGAGTAACCGCTAAATCTCAACAGAGTGGAGAAAAGGCGTTTCGATGTGAATATGATGGATGTGGAAAATTATATACAACAGCTCACCATCTAAAGGTACCCAGAAGACAAATGTTATATATAGTTATGAGAATAATTATGCCTTGTGTCTTCTTACATTATTTTTCTCTTATTGCTGAGATGAAATGTCTGACACCCAGTTAAAAGGAAAAAGATTTATTCAGCTCACAGTTTGTAGAAGCTTGAGTCCATAATCACCTGGCTTGAAGGCAGTGTGGTTGGCAGACAGGTATTGCAAAGGAGAAACAGTTCATGGGGAGCAGAAGGTGGCAAAGTAAGCAAGCAGGCCAACAAGCAAGCGAGAGACAACCGTGCTCTTTCTGTACCTTACATTTCATCCAGGCTACTCAGGGCGGGCAGCACTCACTTCCTTAATCCTAGTGCCCTTCATCCTAGCATTGCACCATGAATCAATCACAGCATCACACATTCTAGATCTAGCCACCTCTGAAAAGCCCCACCCATGTCCACATAAGGCTTTTGGGGGACTTCTGAATGCAAGTCATAACAACTTAGGACAGTAATTTCCATCAAGACATGTGGTAGCAGTCACACACTACTGCTTTCTCCACTTACGTAGTGTTTCATGCTAGTGTGGTTGACAGACAGGTATTGCAAAGGAGAAACAGTTCATGGTGGGCAGAAGGTAGTTCTGACATGGAGCCCTAGACAGGCAGAAGCACAGTTCTCTGAGGGCTTGAACCATGTTTTTTCTAATGACCTTAATATCCAGGGTCTCTCTATCATATAGTAGTGACTTTGTATATCTAAATGCTTTTAGCCAAACACAAGATTTATGTACTTATATAAAAGATGTCATTGTGGGGCTGGGGATTTAGTTCAGCGGCATAAGCACCTGCCTTGCAAGCAGGTGGTCGTGAGTTCGATCCCAGTACCGATAAAAAGAAAAAAGAAAAAAAAAAATGATGTTATTGCTCTGTTGTCAGTGATTTGCAGGAACCTAGCAAAAGTTGGTGTTAGTTTGTTCTTTCAGATATCTTAGCTAGGTATTTTAATTGCAGCAAAACACAACAGACTATGTCATGACTCTTCAGAATAATAGCTAAGATTCATTTAGTAGCTTTCAGTAGGACAGGCAGTATGCACTTAGTGTATTTGAAGTAGTGACCCAGGAGCCCACCTGCATTTCTTTCTTTTTTTTTTTTTTTTTAATTTTAAAGAATTTTATTTAAAGAGCAAAGCAAAACAGAAAAAAGGATGGAAGTAATACAGAATTTCAAAAAACAAAACCAAATAGTAACAAATCACTAGTTGATAGATTACATATTGTCATCTTAGAAGTCACTGTTCAGATTACAAAATTAAAGCATACAAAGTAGACATTCAAACAGTGAGATTGCAAACAGTTCTGTTCAATGATCCAACAAAAACTTAGTAGTATGGTTGTCTGTCTTACACAATTAAACATGCATGCGGGGCTGGGGGTTTAGCTCAGCCGCATAAGCGCCTGCCTTTCAGTCAGGCAGTCATGAGTTTGATCCTCGGTACCGATAAAAAGGAAAAACTCCAAAAAAGAAAAAAAAAAAAAAAACATGCATGCAGTTATATCCTTTAGAGCACTTTCTTTTCCTCTCTTTTGTATAATAACAATTAACTCCAAAAAAAAAAAAAAAACTCCAAAAAAAAAAAAAAAACCATGCATGCAGTTATATCCTTTAGAGCACTTTCTTTTCCTCTCTTTTGTATAATAACAATTATACATTTTAGGTTTTATTACTCCTACAGTTCTTATTACTTTGTTTGAAGAGAATAAAAACAAATGTGACAAAAAATGGAGTCAGTTAAAACAAAATGGAGTCAGTTAAAACATTTTGTTTTTATGATGTAAAAACAAAATACAAGGTGATCAACAATGTTTACCATAATGCCTCTTGCTATCTTAAAAAGAATTGCCCATGGGGCTGGGGATTTAGCTCAGCAGCATAAGCGCCTGCCTTGCAAGCAGGCAGTCGTGAGTTCGATCCCCGGTACCACTAAAAAGGAAAAAGACAAAAAAAAAAAAAAAAAAGAATTTCCCATATCTTAAAGAGGGTGAGATTAAACATAACAAAACAGAACAAAACAAATCTTAAGGAAACAATTTTAAGAAGCACGAATTTCAAAGTAAGTCCATTGGAGATCTTCACTGTCTTATTGTCTCTAGTTTTCTTCCAAATAGTTGTTGCCATCTTCACACGCATTGAATACATACTGAACATTGTAGTACTAATCTAATCATAACAGGATGATGAAGACTTTTTAGGTCTTCAAGACCTGACATTAGGGAAGTCAATAGTGACTGCCATAATGCCCTCATTCTCTTTATAATAGCTGTCCTTATCTTTTTTTTTTTTTTTTTTTTTTTTTTTTTTTTTTTTTTTTTTTTTTGTCTTTTTGAGACAGGGTCTCATTATGCAGTTCAGGCTGGCCTTGAGTTCATTTTGTAGCCCAGGCTGGTCTCTAACTCACAAGGATCCTCCTGCCTCAGCCTCCCGAGTGCTGGGATTACAGGCATGAGCCACCACGCCCAGTAGCTGTCCTTATCTTTACATACACTGAAATTGAATATATCATCTGCATTTCTTTTTTTTTTATTTTTTTGCGGTACCGAACTCAGGACCTTGGCTCGCCAGGCAGGTGCTTACACCACTGAGCTAAATCCCTGGCCCTCACTTGCATTTCTTGTTGGTGTGACCTTGGTATGTTGATTGACTTGGTATGGTGATTGACCTTTGACCTTTTAGAAAAACTCAGACCTCAAGTGTTCCTTTTCTCCATTTAAAATGAATACTACTTAACATATAAATACATAAACTTAGGTCTGTATTGAGAATTTCTAGGCTGTAGTTTTCATGAAAAAGTTGTGTTTTTAAAAAGGCATACAAGGGCTAGGAATGTAGCTCAGTGGCATAGGCATCTGCTTGATAAGTTCAGAGTCCTGAGGGTCCTGTGTTCAATTTCAGGAACAAAAAACAAATTTCTTCACGTTGGGCCAGGGATATAGCTCAGTGGCACAGCACTTACCTGGCAAACATAAGATCCTGAGCTCGATTCCCAGTACCAAAAATAAATGAGTAAAGCATACAACAAAACCATTCAGCAGTGAGGCACAAAAGAATAAGTCTGAAGTTGAGACCATACCTGACGAATACATAAAGGAAATAGAATCATGCTGGTGTTTTTAATAACAGGTCCACGAGAGGTCACACACAGGAGACCGGCCTTATCAGTGTGAGCATGCAGGCTGTGGGAAAGCATTTGCAACAGGTAAAAACATAAATTTTCTTTTTCTTGGTTCCAGTGGGGAGTCAAGCAGAGACTGGTCAGAAGCAGGAACTGAGTCCTCATTGTCTGGTCCATAACTGTCCCTTAATACTTTGTCCTTGGTATCTGCTATATTTTTCTAAAACTTAAGCTCAATGAATGTCTGTAGAGGTATATCATATAATCAAATTTCTTTTAAATTTTTCTTAAAGGTTATGGATTAAAAAGTCATTTCAGAACTCATACAGGAGAAAAGCCATATCGATGTTCAGAAGATAATTGTACTAAATCTTTCAAAACTTCAGGAGACCTACAGAAACATATCAGAACTCATACAGGTACTAATGTGAGCAGAATGGCCATCTCTGGGAAGAATTCTTAATCTGCTGAAAGGAAATTTGAGGAAGTAGTTGCTAAAAGAGTCTCAAATTAACAGAATTAGGGGCATCTCTTAACTGGTGGAGTTGCATGCGTACTGCTGTTTCTTCTTTCTTTCTTTTTTTTTTTTTTTGTAATGGGGATCTAACTCACAACCTTGTGCTTGCCAAGCAGGTGTTTATGCTGCTGAGCTAAATCCCCAAACTGCACAAGTCTGTTTCTTCCTGACTCTTCCAGAGCTCTGTTGGACTCACAAAGAATGAATAATGAGAATTTGAGGAAATTTTTAGACTCCCTAGAAACATAAGCAATGGTTCTAGACCACCAACCCTCTCAGTTTTTAGAAATTATATAAACTGGCCTATTTACCAAGGATTACATGTTTCCCCAGTAGCAGAACTGAGACAGTACTCCAGGCATCCTGTTATTTTTCAATTTAATAATTGCCTCTGCTGCTCTCAGCTATTGCTAAAGAAAATAACTGAGCACCTAATACGTACACAGAAAGAACATCTCCTTACTTCTGCAGTTATCTTCTCTCCTCATTAAATTTCCCCACCTTCTCTTCTTAAATGGTGCTTTATTCTTCCTCTCTCCCCCGCAGCATTTTTTTTTTTTTTTTTTTTTTTTTTTTGTCTTTTTGAGACAAGGTCTTGCTATGCAGTTCAGGCTGCCTTGAACTCACTGTGTAGCCTGGGTTAGCCTCAAACTCACAACAGTCCTGCCTCAGCCTCCCGGGTGCTGGAATTACAGGTGTGTACCATCACACCTGGCCAGAAAATGTTTTCAGTATGCTTGAGAGACTCATGTAATCAGTAGTGAGTTTTGAATGTCATTCAGGTTTTCTTACACAAATTTAAATTTGGAGTAGAAGAAGCATGAAAGGGAATCTCAGCACAAGAAGATTAGAGTCTTGAGCATGATCCTAGGCAGAATTGAAAGATAAAATATTTCAGTTTTCTACATAGTTTTGCACTGTTTAATTTATTTGCCTTTGTATTTTCAGGAGAAAGACCTTTTAAGTGTCCCTTTGAAGGTTGTGGTCGGTCCTTTACGACATCAAATATCAGAAAAGTGCACGTTAGGACACACACAGGAGAAAGACCTTATTACTGCACAGAACCAGGATGTGGCAGGGCATTTGCCAGTGCAACCAACTATAAAAACCATGTGAGGATACACACAGGTAACCATCTTTGATCTCTTATCTTTCAAGGCTCCATTTCACTTCTGCCTTTTTCAAAAATTGTTTCCAGCTAATTTTTTGTCCCTATTACTTGGCATGATGAAAGAAGTCAAACAACTTTAAAAATTTCAGGTTAATATTTATTTATTCATCGAATAATTACCAGGCATCTAATGTGGGTTCCCTGCCAGTCACAAGAAATACAGACAAATGAGATGTTGTGAAGGGCAGTTGAGTTCAAGAAAGACAGGAAGCACAGTTGCTACAGAGTATCTCCTATTAGGGAATGCTATGGGGCAGAGAGGGAGGTTGCATTGCCCCCTGCATGGGAGAAGCATGCCAGGAAAGCTTTTGTAGGGAGTTTGACTTCTAGACTGAATCCCAGGTTTGCCAAGTAGAAGAGTGTTCTTACAGGAGCACAGTGGCATGGGTGAAGGCACAAAGATACGATAAAGTGTGACGTTGGGTGATACCATAGAACTGGAGCACAGACTGCATTCAGAAGAGCATATGAGGGGAAGTCAGAGGGGCTGTGAGTTGTGCCAAAGAGTCACCCCCCCTTTTGTGTGTGTGTGTGTGTGTGTGTGTGTGTGTGTGTGTGCGCTAAGAGTTTCTATAATTGAACTTGAGCTTATGGGGCAAGTTAGGGATGAAAATAAAAAAGAGGTATCCTAGCTCAAATTAATTTAGATAGGAAAGAGCAAGTTGGAAAAGGAGGATAATAGTGTTTGTTTGGAATTGTAGGCTTCTGAGAACCACTGAAATGCTTACCATCTGCGTGTATGTTAGTAAGATTTGCAAAGTTTTCACTTAAAATTTATGATCCAGCTGGGTGATGTGGCTCATGCCTATATTCCTAGCCATTTTGGAGGCTAGAGCAGAGGGATTACAAGTTCTAGACCGTCTTAATTTACCAAAACAACAAAATTTCCCCCCAAAAGTGGATGAGAATATTGGGGCTATAGCAAGGCCCTGGGTTCAATCCCCAGCACCAAAAAAAAAAAAAAAAATTATAACCAATGAAAAAAACCACCTCAGTAAATCTGCTTGTACACACATTATTTCCATGAAAGAAAAATTAAATTGAGAGTCTAAGTGAAAGAACAGGAGACACCGAAGTCATGTTTCTGATACAGTATTACTTCATGCTTACATTGTGTAAGTGAGTAACAGCACATTATTGCTGTTATCTTCCTAGCATTAGGTTACAATATTTGGGAAAACCTGTGAAAATCTTTTTAAGAGCTCTAGAAAAGAAAGTTATATCTTAGAAGAAAAGTTGTATTTTGCTAATAAAATTCGTACTACTTTATTATCTCTAAGATACCATTTTTAATTTATAGTATACATCTGCAGTATGAAAAGAAAAATTCCACTCTGATCCTGTCCTATGTTATTGTGCATTATACGTAAACATATTATGAGTTTGCTGCATGTTCAGTCATTAGATAAGTGATATTGTAAGTGCTGCAGGCATTCCTGGTGGATTATGATATAGGGGTCTCAGAGCCTTTTATATGATATTCAGAGAAATTAGCGAGATGATTTTGTTTTTGTGATATCCAGTGTCATACCCTGTGGCACTCACTCTACCTTTGAGCTACCTTCCCAACCCTGTTTATTTTTTGAGACAGGGTCTCGCACTGGGTTGCCCAGACCAGCTTGGAACTTGTGATTCTGTTATCTCAAGTTGCTAGCATTACAGGCATGTGCCACAATGCCTGGAAAGGCTACGGTTTTTGCATGGGCAGAGAAAACATTCTTCTTCCCCTTTAAAGTAATGAAATACTCATGAGAAAGTTTGCCGTTCAATACATCTTATAGGTAAATTAACTTCCAATAAGAAAGATACATACACTAAGTCTGGTCATGCTGTTCTCTTGAGGACATTTAGGTAGAGAAATACTGAGGCTACACATTGGATTTACTTTTTAAAAGTTGACTAATTGGAGTCTGGTATGGTAGCGCCTGCCTGTAATCTCAGGAATTAAATTGCAGCCTGGGCTACACAGTGAGTTCAAGGCTAGTCTGAACTAGATGGTGAGACCCTGTTTAAAAAAAAAAAAAGAAGAAGGAAGGAAGGAGGAAAAAAAGAAAGAAAAGAAGGAAGGAAGGAAAGGAGAGAGAAGGGGGGGAGGAGAGGGGACAGAGAGGGAGAAAAGCCAGGCTTGGTTGTGGTGGCAGGCTCCTGTAATCCCAGCCCTCTGGAGGCTATGGCAGGAGGATGGCCTCAAGCTCAAGGCCAACCTGGCCCATAGTGAACCTAAGGTCACCAGAGCTGTGTGGCACACGTGTCTCAAAACAAAAGGCTATTTCCCCAGTTCCTGTCTACACAGATTCTGATGTAATTGTACTGGTTTGAGGCCTAGGCATCAGGATATATTAAGCACTTGTAAGATCTTTTGCATGTGACATCATTGAGAATCACTGAAGTAGAGGGATCTGTAATAAGCTATTAAGTGTTCTGACTTAAGAGGTAGATGTGAGCTAGAAGAAAAGATTGGCTAGCAGTTATGTAATTAATACAGTAACTGCCTATGTTATTATGCCTTGGAAGATTTGGAAATAGGACTGGGTTGTAGTTCAGTGGTAGAGCACTTGCCTACCAGGTACAAGGCCCTAAGTTTGATTTGGGCACCCCAAAACCACCTTATCCCTCAAAAAAGAATCCAGAATTGTGAAATAGAGTCCATCTATACAAAGTTTGATCAGGTCAGAAGGAACAAGTTAGGGTTTCTGCGGCAGCCTCAAAATATTAGTTGGGCTGATTTTCCAAGTTTAAATTGGCTGTCATTTTCCTGTGTGGAATAAGCTGGCATTTCCCTTTACCTCACCACATCTCCACCACAGCCGTCTTACCAAGATAAGAATTTGTTTTTCAAGATAAGAGTTTTATTCTGTCCACTTTGAAAATGGAGACCAAGAAGAAGTCAGAAAGCCATTTCCAGTTATTTCATGTCAAACTTACTTTCACCTGAGATGTCTGTCTGTAGGTGGTGTTATTATATTTGGTACCATGGAAAAAGATTGTGTTACCTGAAGAATATTTAAAGTGAGAATTAACTAGACATGCATGTGTGTGCACGTGTGCATATGTATATTTTAGAAATTGGGAGTTCACACTAATACCTCCAATTTATATTGCCTGCTTTGTTTGTAATTGAATGTAAGAGGTCAAGTGAAGGCAAGGTACGGCCATGCATGCCTATAATCTCAACACTTGGGAGACTGAGGCAGGAGGATTGCTGTGAGTTTGAGGCCAGCTTGGGCTACTAAGTGAGTTCAAGGCCAGTCTGAACTACATAGTGAAACCCTAGCTCAAAAATATTTAATTTTGGGGCTGGGGATTTAGCTCAGTGGCATAAGCACCTGCCTTGTAAGCAGGCGGTCGTGAGTTCGATCCCTGGTACCGGTAAAAATGAAAAAGACAAAAAAAAAAAATATTTAATTTTGGGGGCTGGGGATTTAGCTCAGCGGCATAAGCGCCTGCCTTGCAAGCAGGCAGTCCTGAGTTCAGTCCCTGGTACCGATAAAAACGAAAAAAAATTTTTTTAATTTTTCTGGGCGTGGTGGTACATACCTATAATCCTAGCACTTGGGAGGCTGAGGCAGGAGATCACTGAAAGTTCAAGACTAGCCTGAGCTACAAAGTGAGAGCTAAGGCCAGCCTGAAATGCATAGCAAGACCCTGTCTCAAAAAGACAAAAACAACAAAAAAATTTTTTTTAATTTTTCATAGGTCCCTCACCAAAAGAATGGAATAATTTTACCTGCTTACGTAAAACATGACTTTTTTGTGCCATCCTTAGGGGAAAAGCCATATGTTTGTACAGTTCCTGGGTGCGACAAAAGGTTTACAGAGTATTCCAGTTTATACAAACACCATGTTGTTCACACTCACTCCAAACCGTACAACTGTAACCACTGCGGGAAAACATACAAGCAGATCTCCACACTGGCCATGCACAAGCGGACGGCGCACAACGACACAGAGCCCATCGAGGAGGAGCAAGAAGCCTTCTTCGAGCCTCCTCCAGGTGAGGTGTTCCTCCATTACATGTTTCTAGATCTGAGAAGCACTGACTTAAGATTCATGTCGTTTTCCCAAATCATAAAGTTTCAGTCATACAATTATGCACAAATATACAATGTTATACCTGAGGTAAGTGCATTCAAAGCAAGCTACTGGTGCTATGGGCTGTACCCGAGGAGAATGTGGTCTCACGTGGCTCCCCAACCCCAAGGAAGTGGTTTTCAGAGGGTGAGTGGGGTTTGACCAGGAACAAAGCAGAGGATGAGGGAAAGAAAGCAGGGACCAAAGACAAGAAAACCTCCAAATAGAGAGAATGGCACACACATAGAGCCATGAGACAGGAGAGAGGCAGATGAACGGGAGATCCTGAGAGAAGTCTGGCTAGCATGGCAGCCTCGTTGGGGACAGGCTGTAAGGGGAGTCTGGAGAGAGAGGTAGAGGCAGCCATGGTTTGCATTTATTGAAGATGTTGGTCGTAATCATAAGAGAAGAGCACTGCTCCAAATAGCGTCATTGATTCAGGTGCTTCTGGGTGTATTATAAGAGACCAGATCACTCATTTCAGTAAGAATGAGCTCTTTGAAAACTTATTTTAGAGAATTACATTCAGTGATTTTAGTTAAATAATTAGGCATTAAAAAATAGGTTATACAAAACACAGATTATAACTTGAAAATTAACCCAGTCATTGGTGACACATGTGTGTAATCCCAGGACTCAGGAAGCTGAGGGCAGGAGGATCACTGTGAGTTTGAGGCCAGCCTGAGCTACAGAAGCAAGTTCAATCCCAGCCTACATTACACAGCAAGACCTTATCTCAAAAAAAAAAAAAAAAAAAATTAGAAGACGACTGCTCTTTTCAACTGATTAAAGCATTCAGAAACATTTAGGTGTAAAAAACGAAGTTGATGGGGGCTGGGGATTTAGCTCAGCGGCATAAGCGCCTGCCTTGCAAGCACATGGTCATGAGTTCGACCCCCAGTACCAAAAAAAAAAAAAAAAAAAAACAAAGTTGGTTGGAGAATAGGGAAATGAATAGATAACTTGTTCCTCAGATCATCTCCTACTGTATTCCTAATTTTTCCTGTCAGGTGTTTTTCAGATAGTACTATGAGAACAATTCCTTCAATCTTGAGTATTAGATGATTTTCCAATCAAAATCCTGCAGGTGCGCATGGTTGGCTATAAGGCATGTTGCAGTGTGGGGTATACTGGTCAAAGGGCACACAGTTCAGTTAGATCAGAGGAGTCGGTTGTGGGGATTTACTGCAAGTAACTATGGTTAATAATACACTAGATTCTTGAAAATTGCTAAGAGGAAAGAAATGTATGTTACAGCTGCTGCATCCTTTAAGTTAGAAAGCTTTATTTTATTTTATTTTATTTTTGTCTTTTTTCCTTTTTATCAGTACCGGGGATCGAACTCACAACTGCCTGCCTGCAAGGCAGGTGCTTATGCCGCTGAGCTAAATCCCCAGCCCTTAAGTTAGAAAGCTTTAATGATGTCCAGGGTAGTTGATAAAACTCTTCCTCTTTAAAACTTCCTTAATCTCATCCTTACACGTTATAGTTCAGAAATTGAAAGTTTTCGGGCTGGGGATTTAGCTCAGAGACATAAGCACCTGCCTTGCAAGCATGTGGTCATGAGTTCGATCCCAGCACTGATTAAAAAAAAAAAAAAAAGAAAGAAAGAAATTGAAAGTTTTCATATTCTATAAAATATAAATACATATATATATATACACATATATATATTTTGTGTTTGTGTGTTTGAAACAGGGCCTCTCTATGCAGTTCAGGCTGGCCTTGAGCTCACTTTGTAGCCTAGGCTGGTCTCGAACTCACAGCAATCCTCCTGCTTCAGTCTCCCGAGTGCTGGGATTACAGGCATGAGCCACCACACCCAGCAATAATATATATTTTGGGGCTGGGGATTTAGCTCAGCAGCATAAGCACCTGCCTTGCAAGTGCGTGGTCGTCAGTTCGATCCCCCGTATTGATTAAAATAAAATATATATATATTTTTTTTTAAATAACTAAACTACAATTGTTTTTCTAATAGAATTGTTTTTTTCTGTGTGTTCTTTCTTTCTCATAAGATCCCTGGATTTTGTTTATAACGATATATAAACAGCCATGGAACAGAAGAAAAGGCTGTGAAACAATGCCTGCTGTGGGCGTTACACTTGCATGACCATAGCTGTGTGAATTCAGGCACCAACCGCAGCTGAGGAGCACTCTCAGATTAGTGTATTAAGTGCTTCTTTAAAGGAGGAAAAACTGTACTGTCTTTCTTGCTTGGTGGTAAATGGAAAATGTTAGAAAAGAGAGAGATCAGTAACTTTCCTGGTTGCCAAATATAGCAGTAATGACTGTTGAAACTGCTGTTTACTTACTGGTTCTTTATAAAAGAAGTGGAGAAGGAGAGCTCCTGTTCTGACAGATATTAAATGATTAACCACACTCCAGATAATAAGCCATTATACTGTCTTTACACAATGATGTCATTGTGTACTGTTAACTTGCCATCAATCACTTGTGTTGAAGACTAAGTGGATGATGTTTACCGACCATTACAGTTTGCTGTTAGCATTCATGAGATTGTTTTATCACTTTTATGGCTTAAGGGACTGCTAGAACTTAGTGCATACTTGCTGTATTGTAAAGGGTTATTTGCAGGTCTTCTGAGCAGTCTCTTCCCTCCCTTCCCCCTGCACATTTCCACAGAATCATTTAACTCTTCCAACTCGGGAAAAAAAGAGGCCTCCCAAAATAAGAACACTTGGGAAAGCTTTAGTTTAATTTGATTTGGTTTGGCTTTGCAGAAGTGGAGGTGGGGGAATGGGAAGAAGGTCCTGGAAGCCACCTTCATGATTTGCAATACAATACACACATGTTTTATAATTTTCTAATGTTTAAAATGTTCTCTGCACTCTGATTAGTTGGACAAATAAATAATTCATTTGTTTTAAACAGGTCAAGGTGACGATGTTCTTAAAGGGTCCCAGATCACATATGTTACAGGTGTAGAAGGAGATGATGTTGTTTCTACACAAGTGGCCACAGTAACCCAGTCTGGGTTGAGTCAGCAGGTGACACTCATATCGCAGGATGGGACTCAGCATGTAAGTATGAACTTAAAGCCAAACAAAAATATTTCTCTGAGGACTTGGGATATAGCTCAGTGGCACAGTGCCTGTCTGGTAAGCAGAAGGTCATGAGTTCGATTCCCAGTACCAAAAAAAAAAACTATATTCTCTGAAAGTAGGCCTGAAGAGCAAAGTGAGTCCCCATTGGGGAAAGCCTTGAATATTAAGGCTTGAAGTCTGGGTATCAGCCTGGGAGCAGTGGCAGATTGATACAGGGTTTTCAGTAGTCTGCTGAGAATACATGCTGTGATAGATAGTAGGAGAGAAAGAATGTTCGGATCTCTGTGGAGTCCAAATGGTATTAATTGATGTTGTTCAAAAGAGAAATTCTGAAGGTTAGAATCACAGGGAGATTGAGGACTTGAAAATGTAATGAATCCACCTGTAGTCACAGCACTCTGGGAGCTGAGGCAAGAATATTGCAAGGTTGAGCCCAACCTGGGCAATTTAACAACTTAGTGAGAACCTATCCAAAAATAGAAAGTTAAAAGAAGTTAAGGAGGTAGCTGATTATGAAAGCCACATGTTCAGTTGCCAGTAAACTGCCCTCTTCCCCATGAGACAACCTGTTAGCCTGTTTAACTGCTGGAAAACTTAAGTGTTTATAGAGAACCACCTGTGTATTCATTATGGCTCTCTTCTGACCATACAGAATAATTCTAATTCTTCATGTATCCATAAGTACTGTTTTTCCCCTTCCCAATTACTGTATTTTTTCTGGATTTAACCTTCCCATGTCGTTCAAAAATCAGAATTCCAAGCCAGGCATGCTGGTACATACTTGTAATGCCAGCACTCAGGAAGCTGAGGCAGGAGGATCACTGCAAATTCAAAGCCAACCCGAGCTCCATCGTGAATTGAAGGCCAGCCTGAATTACACAGCAAGACCCTGTCTTGAAAAAAAAATTAGATTTCCTTTAGTCAACCAAACAACAGACATGTATTGATCATTTACCCCATGCTGGGCATTTTGGACACAGTATACCCTCTGTCTGTGGGAGACAGACATCTCTAAAGTGAAGGATGATTTCTCATACGGAGGGTATGTAACTGAGGGTTATGCAACATGCTGTGGCCGCCTGGAGGAGAGAGCTGGTTGTCAGTCCTTCCTGATGGAGGCCCAGGCAGAGAATGAGGGAAGGCAAAGCCACAAAAATCTAGAAGTCTGTGACACTGTCTGGGGTTGCAAATACTTACTTACGGCTGAAGCCTAAGATGCAGATTTAGAAGTAAAAAGTGAGTCAGGGTGGGAAAATCGGTAAAGGCTGGATCATGAAAGGTCAGGAATGGCATGTAGAAAGTTTGAACTACTGTACAGGTAATAGGAAACTCTTGGGAATTTAAACAGAAAGCATAGTAAAACTTGGATTATTATATTTTTTAATTTTTTTTCTTTTGTGCTACTGGGGATTGAACAGAGAACCTTCACAATGAAGTATATCCCTACCCCTTTTTTTATTTTTTGAGACACAATCTTACTAAGTTGTTAAATTTTTTCAAGCTGAGCTTGAATTTGCAATCCTACCTCAGCCACCCTTGCTTTTTATTATTATTATTATTATTATTTAATTTTATTTATTTATTTTTGTCTTTTTGAGCCAAAGTCTCACTGTGCAGTTGAAGCTGGCCTTCAGCTCACTTTGTAGCCCAGGCTGCTCTTGAACTTGAAGCCATCTTCCTGCCTCAGCCTCCCAAGTGCTGGGGTTACAGGTATGCACCACCAGGCCTGGCTATTTTATTTTTTTATTCTTTAGATAGCATGTTGCTGTGTAGTTTAGGCTGCCCATGAACTCTGTACAGCCCAGGCTAGCCTCAAACTCATGGCGATCCTCCTGCCTCAGCCTCTCCAAGTGCTGAAATTATAGGGATACACCACCATGGGCAACCTTTTGCTTTATTTTAGAAAGGCATCTTAGTAGTGAAGGGGATAATAAGATTAGGGAAGGGTTAGACTGGCTACCTGTAGAGAATTTACACTGCAGACATTTAGACAAGAGAAAAATAAAGGTCTAAGTTAGCAGTGTAGATGGAAAGAAGATGCATCTAAGAAACACTGATTTGTCTAATGACTGAGGTCACTGGATTATAAAATAATTATTTTGTCCTAGAGTAAACAATGATTGGGCCCAGATATTAATTAACTGACTTGTTAAATGCCCTATATTACAGGTGAATATATCTCAAGCTGACATGCAGGCCATTGGCAATACCATCACAATGGTAACACAGGATGGCACACCAATCACAGTCCCTGCTCATGATGCAGTCATCTCCTCAGCAGGAACACATTCTGTTGCAATGGTCACTGCCGAGGGTACAGAAGGGCAGCAGGTAATTACTCTTATCTGTTATATCAGTAAATGTATCTGTCAGAAGCTAGGCCTGGTGGTACAGGCCTGCAGTCCTAGCACTCAGGAAGCTGAGGCAGGAGCATTCCAAGTTCAGACCCAGCCTGGGCAAGTGACTTTACAAGGGCTAGTCTCAAAATATAAAGGGCTGCAGATTTAACTCAGTACTGAAGGCCCTGGGTTCCATCCTCAGTAGCACCAAAAAAAAGAAAGAAAGAAAGAAAGAAAAGAAAAGAAGAGCTGGTATGCAGCTGAGAGGTAGACTCCTTGCCTAGTAAATTAGTCAGCTTTCTTTCCCATCTCTGATTCACAATCTAAGGACAAGAGGTTTAATTAGGCTCTTTTAAGGGAATTCACTGTACAGTCAGCCAACACCAAGGCAGGAACATTATGGCAAAAGGGTGTAGTTGAGCAGATTTGCTTAGTTTATGAATGGCCAAGGAGCAAAATAGGGGAGCATACATAGTACCCAAGAACATGCCTCTATGACTGTCTCAAATATACCTAGGAGAGTGTGCCACTAATCTACTCATTGTTTCTTAATTTAGTAAAAGTGACATATCCTGGTTAATGGTCACAGTTTACCCCTGCTGTGTGTCACACGGAAACATATCTCCTTAAATCATAGATAAAGATAATAGTAAATTCATAATCCCACCTAATGTACTACAACTCTTGGAGTCTGCATGCCAGTAAAACTAGCATCACATAATGATGCCAAGGTCTACCACCAGCTCAAGCAAAAAGCAAGTTCCCTTGGACCTCGGCTATAGTACCATCTGAGTGCCTGCATGGCTGAGCATGGTGGAGTGAGTCCTGCTAAACTAATTTCAAAAGTCCTTCTATAGCAGGGGTCTCTGAGGCTTTGTTCTTAAATGCAGTTTACACCCTTGAGCCTTTTATGAGTGGGGTCTTGCTAATTCTTGAGATGTCCTCAAGACCTCTTTCATCATCCTAGTTCAACGTAAATTCTTTCTTTTTTCTTTCTTCTTCTTTTTTTTAAACTTTCTTTCTAATGGATTGAACACAAAGCTTTTTTATTTTTTTTTTCTTTTTGAGACAGGGTCTCATGTGATTCAGACTGGCCTTGGGCTCACTTTGTAGGCCAAGTTGGTCTAGAATTTGCAAGGATCCTCCTGCCTCAGCCTCCCGAGTGCTGGGGTTACAGGGGTGTACCACCACACCTGGCTTTTGTTTGGTCTTTGAGACAGAATTTCACTGTGTAGTTCAGGCTGGCATTGAACTCATGATGATCTCCTGCCTCAGTTCCTGAGTGCTAGAATTATAGGCATGCATCACCATTCCCAACTACATCTTATTTTTTAAACTTAATCACATATCTTGAAATACTTGTTTCATATATAGGAAGCTTTATCTGGTTTTAATTCCCGGCACCACTATCCAAAAAAAAAAAGGTGTATATCAACATAAAGCTACATTATATCACACTATTTGCATGTGCCATAATTTACTTAAAATCTTTTGCTGTTTCAAGCCACACACAACCCTGCGCACATCTAATTTTGCGTATTTAAGAAACATGCCATAAATTCCAAGAGTAAGATTGTTGGTGCAAAGATATAGATAGATAGATAGACAGACAGACAGACAGACAGACAGACAGATATAGAGATTTGTGAAAAATGTTGCTAAACTTTTATTTTACAGTTGTTTCAATCTACATGCCTACCTACAGGCTCTGAGAGTACATGTTCTCCTTCATAATTTGATTTTTGCCAATTTCATATATTCATTGTAGTTTAAATGTTTGCTTTCCCTAAGTGACATAGATTGACATATATATATATATATATATATATATATATATATATATATATATTTTTTTTTTTTTTTTTTTTTTTTTTTTTTTTGGTCTTTTTCCTTTTTATCGGTACCGGGGATCAAACTCATGACTGCCTGCTTGCAAGGCAGGTGCTTATGCCGCTGAGCTAAATCCCCAGCCCCCTAGATTGATATATTTAAGAACCATTTTTACACAGTGATAAAGTCAGCAGTTCTCACTGTTCAATGAAAGAGCAATACATTAATAGAGACTCTTGAGTTTCGTTATGTTTTTCTGAACATACTTTTTTTTTTTTTTTTTTTTTTTTCTTTTTATTCAGGCACTTAAATTACCTGTGGAGTCTGCAGTTTGAACTTTCAGGCATGTCTGTTTTAGTTTTGTCACTGAGTCTTAGGGCTTCAGTGCTGATAACAATCTTTACTCCCAAAGAATGGCCTTTACTTAGGGTTTCTGTGTAAAGCCGAAGGTGTTTACCAACCCTCCCAAGTAGGAGAGGGCTCCAAATATTTCTTGTGCTGAGTGGAACTGAAATCACTCATCTTCTCAGCCTTCCAGCTGCTGTTTACTGCAGCTTCATTGGAAACTAAATGTTTGTTGTTTATGGATCTTAAGGATTTGAGGAAGCTCCCTCATCTTGTTCTTTCCTTTCTTGCATATCCCTCATATCTCCCTTCCAGCAGCTTTGGACTCCATAATCTGATAAACTAAGTTGCCCTATGTGCCAGGCCTGGGTAGCACCATCAGTGGAGGTTTTATTCAAAGATATAACCACTGTGTCTGCCTTTTGGTTATTTTGTTGTTGCTGTTTGTTGGTTTGGTGTGATTTGGGTTTTTTGTGTTTTGTTTTTTTGTTTTTTTTTGTCTTTTTCCTTTTTATCGGTACCAGGGATCAAACTCACGACTGCCTGCTTGCAATCAGACGCTTATGCCACTGAGCTAAATCCCCAGCCCCGGGTTTTTTGTTTTGAGACAGGATAGAGTTCAGGCTGCCTTGAACTCACAATCTCCCTGCCTCAGCCTCTTGAGTACTAAGATTAGGAGCCTGTACCACCATGCCTGACAGCTCCCTCCTGTTGATAATCTAGTTTTCCTCCTGCTTTTCCTTGTTCTCCAGTGCTTTCAGATAGTTACTTTTTCTTTTTTCAAGAGTTTATAATTGTTATTTTCACAAGGCATGTAAACTGTTTTGCTATTGCTGGAAATCTAGTTTTATTGCTAAATTGTGGAACATTAATGGAATTGACCCAAACCAAATATCTATTAGCTTAAAAATCAAATATTTGGGGCTGGGGATTTAGCTCAGCAGCACAAGCACCTGCCTTGCAAGCAGGCAGTTGTGAGTTCAATCCCTGGTACCGATGAAAATGAAAAAAACCAAAAAAAAATCAGATATTTTTAATACATTATTGGCCAAGTAAAACAATAATTTAAGTTTTTATTGTCTAAATTTGGCTGAAGCAATTTTTTTGTTTTGGTTTTTGTTTTGTTTTGTTTTTCTTTCTTTTGTTTTCTTTGTTTTATTTTCTTTCTTTGGTCTTTTTGAGAGAAGGCTTTGCTCTGCAGTTCAGGCTAGCCTCAACTCACTTTGAACCTTGTATCTCAGCCTCCTGAGTGCTGGATTACAGGCGTGCAACACCACACCCAGCCTTGGAGCAAGTTATGTTCTTACTCATTCATTTTGCAATGCTGAAGATCAGACCACTGGCCAGGCTAAGCAAGTTCTCTAAACTGAGCTCACCTCCTGCCCCAAATGTCAGAGGATCATGTGACAGAAGTATTGCGTGTCATTTTCTGTGTTCTCTACATTTGTGAAGTAAGAATCACAGAGACACTGGTTAGATCATCTGGCTAGAGGCTTCCAGTAGGAATATGGAAAGGCTGCCTTGAGTCTGAGATGGAAAATAAGAGGTGTTTATCAGTAGTACCACTAGTCTTTCTACTTCTTGTTAATTAACTAGAGGTCTAGTTTTAAAGGCAGCAAGTAAATAGGAGAAAATAGTCTGTATTTTACCCCTGACCCACACTCAGAGTAAGTACCCCTTCATCGTGTGAGTTGTCCACACTGTGACATCCAAAGCTGCCCTTCTGCAGCAGCAGAACCTGGCACATCCCCAGCACGCAAGGTGGTGCTGAAGGAAGTAGTCCCTTATGAACGGGAAGGCAGCCTCTGCATGAAGTGGCCTTTAACCTGTTTGAGTCACAGATTTAATTCTGCACATGTGTTTGGTTTTTGCTTAAGGTTGCGATTGTGGCTCAAGACCTAGCAGCGTTCCACACGGCCTCCTCAGAGATGGGGCACCAGCAGCAACACAGCCATCACTTAGTCACCACAGAAACCAGGCCCCTGACCCTAGTGGCCACCTCCAATGGCACCCAGATTGCAGTTCAGGTAAGGACAAGGGAAAGCTGTTCTCAGTGGGTAGTGCTGCCGTGTGGCTCTCAACCTGATGTGCTGGGCTTGGTATATGACCTCTGCAGGAGGCAGAGGCACTAAATAATCTGGGTACCCATGAGACTTAAGGAAATTTGTACAACGGAGTGATCTCAAAGATCTTCACCGTTCTTTACTACTTCTGCATGTTCTTAGGGGAATTTACTGTAAGACAGAGAGTCTTCAGGCATGTCTACCTGTATATGCCCATCTGGTGGGCTTTCCTGTCTAAAAAGTCTAATTAAGCTGAATTCTGTAAAGCACTTAAGAGCTACTCCTTGGAGATGACCATAGTATAAACACATACTATACATTAATCCTCTGGGAATCCCTGCACAGCCCTGTTTTAAAGTAGGGAAGCCAGGTGTAGTGACGCACACCTGTAATCTTAGCACTAGGGAGGCTCAGACAGGAGGGTTTCTGTAAGTTCAAGGCCGGTTTGGGCTACATAGTAAGTTCAAAGCTAACCTGACCTACATAGTGAGACCCTGTCTCAATAAACTAATCAATTAATTAAGTGGGAGAATTTGGAAGAACTAGAAGGGTGCCATTCTCTGGGCAGCCACTGGATCCAGGCAGGTAATCCACAGTCCTAGATGCTAGATACAGTTCTCTTCTCCTTTCACAGTTTGCTTTCCATGTGTGTACTTGACAGAAGGTTAGAACACATTCAGGAACATCTTAGCCATTGGTCAGTTTCATTTAGTTTATGGAATAGGGCTAAGGCAGGGTTCAGGAAGCTGTCCGCCTCCACCAGCCAAGGCGATCCTCTTTTGTCCCTTGCATGTATGAAGGATTTATCAGAACCCTAAAACCCCTGTGAAAGTTTGGCTTTGTGCCCTTAATGGTTGAATCAGCATAATATTTTTTAACCACCCTATGGTAACCAGAGAGAAGTTTTATTTCTAGCACATAACATTTCTTGAGCTTATCTTGATTGTGGTTTTGGAATTGTTTTGTTTGATGTGTGTTCCTGTTTCAGCTTGGAGAACAGCCATCTCTGGAAGAAGCCATCAGGATAGCATCTAGGATTCAACAAGGAGAAACGCCAGGGTTGGATGATTAATCCTCAGAACAATAGAGCAATAAAGCGAGAGGAACCTTTGATGTGGCAGCAGAAATCTCTGAAGCCCGAGCCCAGGAAAACCAGTTTTCCATTCCTGATACACTGTACACATTTTTATGCAAGAGTGGGAAACATTTTATTCTTGACACTTTGTGTGTTTAACCCTTGGAATAGATTCCCAAAGTGATTCATTGTGTACAAGAAAGTATGAAATTAGGGCAATACAGTAAATTGTCATGTTACCCTTTTATCAGATTGCAAACTCCTAGAGACTACTTGCAAGACCAGTGAAGTCTGTACAGAATCTTATTATGGATTTTTTAACTTACTGTGAAAAAATAAAGGCTGTATCTAAAATGTGGAAGGTTCTACATATCAAACAATCATAATTCCAAAAGCCATCATGGACAGTAAAGGATGTAAAGCCTTCAGGTATTTCCCCTGTTAGTAGTGTCTTTGGGTTTTGTTCTACTGTGTACTTGCCCATTTTTATTTGTATCTCATGGTTTGAAGACTATTTGTTTATAGTTTCCATGTTACATACCAGCTCCTCAAGCTGAAATGCTAACTATATTAGCATTGCATTGGATTATGTATAAAACTACAAAGTTTTGTTATTTAAAATTAAAAAATGTTAAATCTAGGGTTTTGTTAAAGATCTCACTTAGTGTTCAGTTTTGTTTGGTTCTGATTTTTTGTTGTTGTTTCTACTGTTTTGTTTTGTTTTGTTTTGTTTTGTTTTTAAATAATGAACTGTCGAAGTTTGACCACAGATTGGTACCTGGGATAACAGTGCTGTAATGGGAAATGGCTTTACTCTGAAAATTAGGTTAGCGGGGTTGGTGTAAATTTATTTATTTTTGCTTATGTACTTTCGTTTTAAAGCTTATTTACCCTAAAGTTTATTAATTTTGAATACAGCAACTTTTAAAATGTTATCTTTATATTTGTTTGATTAAATCGGAGCGGGGTGGGGTGGGAGTGCCAGCATCTGACATCACCGCCCGCAGCACTCGACAAGGACGCACAGTGCGTGAGGCACGCTGGCAAGCACTTTGCCGTGGCTTCTGTGATTTCCAGGTGGCCCCAGCAGCCTTGTGAGATAGCCCCGCTTTTTCCCTAAGAAAACAGAGTCTCCAGTGAGACTGAGACTCTTGTCTCACTAGGCCTTGTGGCTGAGCCAACCTTGGAAGACCTCAGGCTTTCTGATGCCAAGCCCAGTTTTTCACTGCTCCACAGCTGCCACCTCCTGTGATAATCTGTATCAGAGATTATCAAATTGAACTTTGTCGAGTTTTGCACTTGCCTAATAACCTGAGCACTTGAATACCATTTTTTTGGTTTTGTTTTTGTCTTTTTCTTTTTTTATTGGTACCTGGGATCAAACTCACTACTACACACTTGCAAGGCAGGTACTTATGCCGCTGAGCTAAATCCCCAGCCCCTTGAATACCATTTTCTAATTTTCTAATGTCAGAAATTCAGCACAGAGGCCACCAAGGTTAAAGGGGGATAGTGAGGGGAGGGGTAAAAGATTGTCCTGCAGCAGCCCCTCCTGCCCCGTCCTTCACCCAGCTTTGGTTGCCAGGGCCCTGAAAAGTGGCCATTGTTCATTTCAGGCTTTACCATACAGAGGGGTATGAGATGTGCTGCTTTATTGAAAGTAAGTGTTATCTTTGACCAGGTGCTTTGAGCTCTTGCTGAAAGGGTCATGACTTAGTCATGTGAAATGAGACACCTCCAGGTGCAGTGGAGCGAACCTGTCATTCCAGCCTCTTGGGAGGCTAAGGAAGGAGGATCACAAGTTCAAGGCCAGCCTGGGCAATTTAGCAGAACCCTGTCTCAAAAAAAAATAAAAAGCTAAGGATGTAACTCACTAGCTTTCTTAGCAGCAGGCACAAAGCTCAATAATACCATAAAAAGGAAAAAAAATTACCCTTTTGGGTCGGGCAGAGGATTGGTTGTTTTTCTGCAGAGCCCTTTATAAATATATAACACTAGAATAAATCCTAGTTACTCACAGATCCTGTCTTTACTCTTGATAGACATATAAACATGTACAGAGGGAGGCTGAGGTAGGAGGAGCATTGTAAATTCAAGGCCAGCTTGTGCAACATGCAAGACCTTATCTTCAACCAAACCAAACCTAAATACACAGAATTCCCAGCTGAGGCCTGCTGAGTGTCAAAGGGGCTGGTGTGGCAAGACTGACCAGAATCCACAGAATCACATGGTACTCCACTTTCCACTGAGGGTCCTAGCACGTAATTCAGAGCAGCTCCATATGACCCAAGCTATCGTGCTTGATTCCTAGGACTAAAACCTAGCTGGTCAGCCTTGCCAGGCCCCTTCTGTCTGTCTTCACTGGAATTCCAAGGTGTTTCTCTCCCATCCTTGCCCCAATATCCAATAGCTTGGACAGGACTGACCTCAGTTCTGGTGAGCCTACTTCTCCCTGAGCTAAACAAAAAAAGAAAAGCCAGGCACCATGGCACATGCCTTTGATCCCAAGTACGCAGGAGACTGAGCCGCGATCATAAGTTTGAGGCCAACCTCGGCAACTTAGCAAGACCTGTCTCAAAATTAGAAGAAAAAATTGGCTTATTTTTTTTCAAAACAGGGTCTTACTATTATTTGAGGCTAGCCTTGAACTCACTATGTAGCCCAAGCTGGCCTTGAATTCGCAGCAATCTTCCTGCCTCAGCCTCCCAAATCCTAGGATTATAGGCATGCGCTACCACAGCTTGCTTTCTTTTAAAGGTTCAGTGATAGAGCACCTGCCTAGCATGTATAAGACCTTGAGTGCAATCCCCAGTAACAAGAAAAAGAAAAGCCCACTAGCAGTCAAAAAAAGGGCACAAGGCACTGCAGCTTGTCCCTCACCCATCTATCAAGGTGGCATCATGTGCCACCCCAGGGGAAGACCATCTGTTGTGCTGTGGGGGAAGCTGCCCTGGGCTCTGCGCAGCACAGGACATGAAAGGGGGTCCTTCCAAGTTGAATATTCCCAGAAAGGTACTCAATGCAACAAGAGTTCATATGAGCAGCTGGGGAGCATAATCCTTAATATGATCCAGACAATGCTCAAAGCAAAGCTCTCAGTCTAAGCAAAACATCTGTGTTAGCCCAGACACAGCTTGAGAACTCTACCAAGAAAATACACGTCACCCTCAATCTATGCCCCCTATAAGAACTTAGGGAATAGAGGAAGAAGACCACCTCTGTCCTATGTTGTTCTACAGGGGGCAACTGGCAGGAAAGGCCAGGGACCTCCTTCCCCACCTCCCAAGCCGGCCTCCAGCCTCAGGGCCAATCTGCCTTCCTCTGGTCTCCTGCATGCTCGCCCTGGTCTAAGTGAGCAACTAGGTAACTGTTCTGTGCTGAGGTTGATGGGATTCCATTTATCAACCCTAGGAACATACAGTACAGGATCTCCTGACCCAGAGAAGACCACAGACTGCTCCGCAGTGATCAGGGAGATGGGAAGGAAGGGGACAGCTGTCCCTGTCGCCAGGGAGACAGTTGCCTCTGCCTCCTCCACTGGGAGGTTTTCTCAGATTTCTGGAAGTGTGAGGACCTTTTAAGGAATACTCCAGACACCCTCTCTTCCCCCACCCAGGAACAAACCTAGTTTCCTGGGTGTGGGATCAGTACAATTTGAGTAAGATCCTGAAATGGAAGGGCCCTGTACTATCATCGTCATCCTGAAATTCCTGTGTGTGTGTGTGTGTGTGTGTGTGTGTGTGTGTGTGTGTGTGTGTGTGACATGTGCCTCTCTCTATCTGTCTCTGTATGCTGGAGATGGAATTCCAAACACTCTACTGCTGAACTACACCCAGCGCCTCCCCTCTCTTTGACGGCATTGAGGGTTCAACCCAGGAAGCCCTTGAGCTACAGCCCCAGTCCTTTTTTAATTCTGAGACAAGGTCTCACTAAGTTGAACTTCCTTTTCTCCCTCGGCTGAGATTACAGGCATGCATCGCTGTACCTGCATTGATTTTTTTTCTTTTTATGGTAGTAGGGTTTAAGGTAGGGCAATAGTACTGAGCTACAGTTCCAACACCCCCGCCCACACACACACACCTTTTCTATTTATTTGGAGGCAAGGTCTTATTGTGTAGTGCAGGCTGGCCTCAAACCCACAGTGATCCTCCTGTCTCAGTCTCTGGACTGCACCTTTTCTTTTTAATTTGTTTGTTGTTGTTGCTGGTGGTGGTGGTGGTGGTGGTACCAGGGATTGAACTCATGACCTCGAGTATGCCAAGCAGGCACTTATGCCTGCTGAGCTAAACCCCCAGCACCTTTTCTTTTTAAAGAGAGCAAAACCTAACAAAATAAAACAATAAAACAAAACAGTGAAAGTGGTACAGAACTTCAAAACAGTAATAAGAAATCAATAATGGCTACCATAATATATCTTCTTATTTTCAAAATAGTTGTCCATACCATCGGACATAGTAAAATCAAGTAACACAAAACAGGATAAAACCAATCAAAACAGAACATTGGGGGCTGGGGATTTAGCTCAGCAGCATAAGCGCCTGCCTTGCAAGGGGGCAGTCGTGAGTTCGATCCCTAGTACCAATAAAAAGGAAAAAGGCAAAAAAAAAAGGGGGGGGGGCTGGGGATTTAGCTCAGTGGCATAAGCACCTGCCTTGCAAGCAGGTAGTCGTGAGTTCAATCCCTGGTACCGATAAAAAGGAAAAAGACAAAAATACAAAAAAAAAAAAAAAAAAACCCCAGAACATTGAATAAAAAAAAAACTATAAATCAGAACAAAACCGAATTCGAGACCTGCCTGGGCTACAGAGTGAGCTCAAGCCCAGCCTGAACTGCATAGCAAGACCCTGTCACAAAAAGACAAGAAACAAAAAAAAAAAAATTGGAACAAAACAAACAGAACAATACTGGATTTCAAAGATAAGCCAAAAGGAAATCCCCATATTTGCTATCCTGCGTATTCTTATCCTCCTAGTAGATGCTCAGACTACTGGCCTTAGGCCTTCAAAGTCAGTCAAACAATACAAGTATTTAGTTGTTTTTGTACCTTGGTTGCTATCAACTCAGCCTATCCTCTGAATCACCTGGTTGCTTATCAAGGGAGAGGGGTAAGAGGTGCTTCTTGATTCTAAGCCTGGACGCCACTTGGCTCACAGGAAGGACAAACTGACTTCTCTGTCTTCCTGAGCCCTTCATGGTTTGTCCCTCACACATTTTCGTTAAGTCCCTGAATTATCCAGGCTGGGCTTGAACTTGCAGTCCTCTTCCCTCAGCCTCCTAGACTGCTAAGAGTACATGTATGCCCCACCACACTGAAATGTTTAATAAATTCACCTTTGAATTTGTGGTTGTGAAATCCCATGCAACAATGCAGTGTGTGCCAGGTGCTTCTTGCACAACTGCAGCTGCCGTGCGTGCTAATGTCCTATGGGTGGGGCGTGGCGGGGGCCATCCCCAAGCCCTGGCACTTCTGGGAACTTCGGCCTATAGCCCACGCCTTCTCTGAGGAGGCCTTTCTAGCTCTGAGACCTAAAGATACTTGAGGAATCTTGAGTCCTCTTCTCCTTCCAAGCTTCCCTCTCTCTGCTTGTGTGTGCCTCCTCCAGGAGTCACCTGGAACTTTAAATTGTGTCAGTTCAGTGAGTCTGTTTGGATCGACCTTTCTTCTTTGAATCCAGAAGGGCTCATGTATGCTAGGAAAGCACCCCCAGCTTCCATGATTCCAAGCATGAGTTAAATACTGCTATAGTTTGGGTCTCGAATGCGCCCCCCACCAAGGCCCATGTGTTGAAAGCTTGGTCTTTAGCCTGTGGACAAAGCCGCTGGGAGGCTGTGGGTGCTTTAGGGGTGGGAGCCAGTGGAAGGAAGTGAGGTCATTGAGGCGTGGCCTTGTGGGTATGTGGGGCCCCACCTCTCCCTCTCTTTGCTTTCAGCTGTG